AGGTTAGGATAAGTCTCCAGGAAATGCATGTAAGTCAATGTAATGTCCCCTGAAGTGATGTATACATGGTGTGTGCGTGTGTGTGTGTGTGTGTGTGTGTGTGTCCTCAGTCTTCTCACTGTCCTCTCTTCTCTCCTGCAGCTGGTGATGGAGTTCTGTGGCGCGGGATCAATCACAGATCTGGTGAAAAACACTAAAGGAAACACGCTGAAGGAGGACTGGATCGCATACATCTCCAGAGAGATCCTCAGGGTCAGTCACAAAGCCTTCATCACTATTTCATATCACTAATCAGATATACTGTGTGTGTGTTTGAATGCTGTCAAAGCTCAGAAAAACCCTTAAAACTCACCTTTTCACTTTTCAACCTCTTTGTGGACATGTTGCTTGTAAAGCGTCTGTTAGCTCTGTTTAAAGCGCTATAAACATGCGTGTCTGAAAGTGTCTGATAGACAGGACAGGAGTTTGGTTCAGTATTGTTGCAGTAAGTTTAACTAAAAGCAAACAGCATGTGAAATGTTTGTTTCCTTCTCTCCTCCGCACAGGGATTGGCTCACTTGCACGCTCACCACGTCATCCACCGTGACATCAAGGGACAAAACGTGCTCCTGACTGAAAACGCTGAAGTCAAACTGGGTAAGAGCCCGTAGACTTTATAAACGGTTTCACATGAGTGCACAGTTGTCTAACACAGCAAGTACTTGTGAACCTATGGCATACTTTACTACTAGTTAGTGTCATAAAGTCAATTGTTATTATAATGAAAATGTATCTGAATGTTTGTGAATGGGGGAAAGATGCCTTATAGAATGTAAAGTGCTTTGAGGGGTTTGGATAAAACACTATTACATACACTCCATTTACCATTTACTGTGAAAAGGGCATTCATTTAACTCGATGAACCCTACAGAAACAATAAGCAAATCGGCCCACCTTGATTACAATTCCTATAAAAAATAATGGATGTCAACAACTCAGAGGTCTGTGACCTGGGGCCTGTACTACGAAGCTGGTTCAACCTAACCTGGATATGTTTGAGTTAGCCGGTTGGCCTAATCCAAAACATACGCGCTGTCGCTAAGCGGTACTACGACGCGGGTTATCAAGTGGATCGCTCAAGCCAGCCGTGTCCTATCTAGTTAGGTGCGCGTTCACATGAAAGGGGTGGTATTTGGAGCATTCGACCAATCACAAACATGGAGAAGCGTACTGACAGCGCAGCGTCATACTTCCTGAATGAAAAGTCAACTATAATATTAGACATATGAAGAAGTTAAACTTTAAACATCCATGACTTAAACACTTGATCCAGGATCAAAGCCACATAGCTGCACCTGCAAGGTGAATACAGCTGGTAACAGAACAAGTGTTTGAATGCGTACATTAACAGGTTTATGATATCACTGCCCCGTCTAAAACACGATCTGACTTTAATTACATTTGACTCGAGTGTTTCCTCAACTTAATGTGTTGCTTAAAATAATACTTCTGCATACAGTCTGTGACGCTGTGAGTGTTGCACGGCCAGATACGGCTCAGCTGACTCAGATAAGGAAATATGATACATTATGAAGTGATATGCCGTGGACTGTACTTAATGTTACTCTGATCCGGTTACTTATGTTGTGGCAGATATTTAAGTAAGCTTTCTTAACGCTAATGTTATAATAGTCAGATTGCTCTGAAGATGGAGGTGATATTCTATTAATGTTCACGTTCACACAGTCGGTGATTTTTGCCGGCCGTCTTTCCTGCGACGGCAGCTTTTCTGTATTTCCTTTCTCCTGTAATATGACTTGATCGCTTTAAACTCCGCACACTGAGCTCTGATTGGTCAGCAGGCAGTGCTTTCACTGAGTTGAGCTCTTAGCCTGCAACCTAACCTGCTCCGGGGCAGGTTAGCCGCTCAGCACAAGTTACCATGGAGATCTAGCCTGCTAAAAAGAGAACCAGCGTCGTAGGACCGGAAACCCCGAGTTTCCCTGAAGTTCCCTGAAGCGAAAATCCTGCTTCGTAGTACAGGCCTCTGGTGTCTTCTGATAACATGAGAGTGAAAGACACTTTGTTACCAATCACACATGATCTAATGTCTGCAGTTTGGCAGCCTCACTGTCCAGTCGTGATACTCAGTTATTTTACAGGTTATTTAATGTTTCTGAAACTGGAAATCATATTTTATTTATGATCCCTGAAATGGTTTGACACTCTCCAATCTTGTTTTGATTTCTTTAACTGACTTTGATTAGATAACCGTATGTAATGAGATTACTCTTGAGACCTTGTTTATTGCTCTCCTGTGATGTCTCCACATGTCTCCACTGTGGTCACAATAAAACACTTTGTAGAGACACAGAAACGTAACCTTTACACTCTGGTTTCGAGTGTGTTGCTTTAAATGTGACAAGAGAACGAGGGACATTTTAATTTACAAGGCTACGATCAGAAGAAGCTGAATCTGTTATTTGGCTAGGGGCTGGAATTTGAATGACCCCTCTTACATCATGAGTCTGCTCTCAGGATCTGCAGTGTTTTAATTACATTTCAAGTATTTCAGTATTATAAGTTTGTTCCTAGTGGTACATTTACTCAAGTAATGTACCTAAGTACTGCTTAGACATACTTTATATTTTCATTTTGTGCTTAATATTCTTCTGCTCTAGCATTTTGGAAGTGAATATTGCACTTTTTACTCCACTACATTTATTTAACATGGTTTACATATGCATATTTACAAAAACGTCCCAAATTGGGATCAATAAAGTTAATCTTATATGAAAAAACGCTATACCTTCATGATATGATGCACTACTATACTACCTCCACACAGTATTTCTACAAATTTAAATATATCTCAACTTTTACAGTAGTATTGTGAAAAGAACCATTGTGCAAACTGAGTACTTTGTTACTTTAAGTACATGTACCTGATGTAACTTATTTTCTTTTACTCAAGTAACGTTTTCACAACATCATTTAAGGACTTTTACTTATTATAAAGCATTCAAGCACCTTCATGTCTCTACTTTTATTTAAGTAAAGGATTTGAGTACGCTTTCCACATTTTACTTGAGTCTAACAAGTATTTGCGTATGACACTCCTCGAGTACGATTTGTTTTGGTTCTCAGATACTGTATAGAAACAACTTTCTTAATGAATCGTTTCATAATTAATGTCACTTTCTTTTCCCAGTGGACTTCGGTGTGAGCGCTCAGCTGGACCGCACGGTGGGGCGGAGGAACACCTTCATCGGGACGCCGTATTGGATGGCCCCGGAGGTCATCGCTTGTGACGAAAACCCAGACGCTACCTACGACTACAGGGTGAGGAACCTGAGTTCAACTAACACGAGATCTGCTGTTTAACATTACAACATGGGCTGTGTGCAGAGAAATAGAGATAGTTAATAGAAGTAAAAATAACAAGAATGAACCCCAGGAAAGTGAGAAAATAGTCCCCATCATGAAGTAAAGTAAAACTCCCAGATCTTCCATATTTAAAAAAACCGGTGTATTTATTTATACAGTTTAATATTAAAGCCTCTCGTTTCGGTTTATTTTCCTAATTAAAAGTTCTGAACAGTTTAATAACAACAAATACAACAAAACATATTTTCCTTCAGACACTTGTGTTTTTTTTACACTTTAGACGACGTTCTGACATAAAATTGACCGGAATTCTTTTTGTGGATTGATATTATTGCACATACTGTCCCTTGATCAGAGTGTTCTCCTTAGCAACAGGCTGTTCTCCTTAGCAACGGTCTGTTAGCGAAAAATATCTGACCTCTGCAATGTTCAAATTCACCAATCAGAATCGAGTATTCATTCAAGCTGTGTATTAACTCCTCTCCCCCCCTTCAGAGTGACCTGTGGTCCGTTGGAATCACCGCCATAGAGATGGCTGAAGGAGCTCCACGTAAGTTCACACATTCAGGTTTCAAAAACTATAAATCATTTAAAAAGTAAACTATTTTTAACTTTTATGTATTTGTTTTGCTCTTCTCTCTTTTGTTTCTTCTAGCTCTTTGTGACATGCATCCAATGAGAGCTCTCTTCCTCATTCCTAGAAATCCTCCTCCTCGGCTCAAGTCTAAAAAATGGTGGGCTTCACTTTTTAATCTTTTCCACTCTCGTCATGTAAGGGAAAATGTGAATCAAGGCACTTAATCCACTGCTACATCCTAAATAAACCAACCGCTTGACTCATAATGTTGATTTGAAAATGATCGTATTGCTTCAGCCTAAGAAATAAAGCAATGTAAATTAAAATGACAGCAGCACAGATCGAGGATTTCTGTAACTGTTCATATTTTATTTTCCGGTAACCAGTCTTTAAACACTGCCAGAGCCCATACTGTGTTCTGTTAGTATTTACTTCCTGTCTGTCTTCTTATGTGGATTTCTCTGACGTCCAGTCTACTCTCCTTAGCAACTGTCTGCTCTCCTTAGCAACAGTCTGCTCTCCTTAGCAACAGTCTTCTCTCCTTAACAACGGACTACTCTCCTTAGCAACGGTCTGCTCTGAAACAATTGCAGACCCCTGGAATGTCCAAATTGACCAATCAGAATCAAGTTTTCACCTAAGCTGTGTTATAAAAAAGTATATTGTATTTCACATTTGAACTCAAACCATCACATTTAACCTCAACAGGTCGAAGAAGTTCTTCAGCTTCATCGAGGGCTGCCTGGTGAAGAACTACACCCAGCGCCCCCCCACCGACCAGCTGCTCAAACACCCGTACATCCGGGACCAGCCCAACGAGAGGCAGGTGCGCATCCAGCTGAAGGACCACATCGACCGCACCAAGAAGAAGAGGGGCGAGAAGGGTGAGAACATCCAACGCTTTACCATTACACTTTGCTCTAATGTTACATTTAAGCTTAAACTATTATTTTTACCATTGACACTAGGAGAAAAATGTAACTGTTGGTTTACAATAAAACGTTACATTTAACTAGGGCTGTCTGTCGATTAACATATTTTTAATCGCGATGAATCGCATGATGTCCATAGTTAATCGCGATTAATCGCAAATTAATCGCATATTTTTTATCTGTTCTAAATGTACCTTAGAGGAATATTTTTCAAGTTTTTAATACTCTTATCAACATATGAGTGGACAAATATGCTTTATGCAAATGTTTGTTTATTATCATTGGAACAATGACAAATATTCTCCTGAATATTCTCAACACAACAACCTGGAACCTCTCTCTCTTCTCTCTCTCCCAACCCAGTCTACTTCTTTGCACTGAGCTAGTTGCTCAAACAGACAAGCCTGTTTACAGTTGTCGGCAAAATGCCGCTCCTCTGTCTTCATAGCAGTCAAAGCATGAGACTGAAGTTCCCACAGGGGTCAAAATAATGCGCTGTGATGTGCAGTCGACACGTTGGATGCGATCCGAATGATCTAACGCAGCCCCTCGTCCTCCTCAATGTTAAGCTGTAGCCACCTATTTAGCTATCGCTGTTGTTGTCCAGGCGTCTCCCCGGCAAACTTTTAAGCGTGGTCTGCCGCAAGCGAGCGGCAGGAGCGGGGCTGTTGGCATCAGCTGTCTGCTTGGCTCGCTGTTTAAAACACCTTTTTTGTATCCATATCTCTCGCTAGAATCTCCCACCATCCAACTAACAACAACAACAACATCAACAACAACAACAACGTCAAGCCTTTGGGCTCTGAAACTACGGGGCGGGCCGAGGCCAAATACAAATGCGTTAATCGCACGTTAAAATAATTAGTGGCGTTCATTTTTTTTCAAGAGGTTGCTTTATTTAGTTCAAAAAGTGGACATGTGGAATTATTTTTTTTAAGTAAGCATAGTGGAATCACTATTTACGACTATTTCACTCGTGCTCCAAAACATTGAACGTGATAGAGGGCGGGACATCTCTAATCCGTTGACAAATCACAACAGTGCTGGCCAGCTAACCAATCAGTTGTTAACATGTTAACTTGACAGCCCTACATTTAACGCTTTACCATTACACTTTCCATCTTACTAATGTTTTTACCATTGAATTTTTTATTTAATTTGTATTTGTTCCGTTCATGGTATGCACAAATTAATGTATAACAATTATTTACAAAAAAAGTCTCTATAAACACACCGTACCCGAAAAGGAGCAGGGAGAAGAAAATAATCTTATATTACCTGCCCCTTTCTCAAAAACTAAATAAATAGAAATAGATGGTCTGTCCTTCATATTTTCTTATTCACAGCCAATCCTAACAGTATGGCAGGAAAATAAACACAAAAACGTACAAAAAAATACTTTGTTCGCACTTGACAGTTAAAGGTGAGGTAGGTAATTTTGGAGAAACCAGCTCGAGTGCACTAGAATTTGAAAATACACAGCCGGAAAAAATCTGCCACTTCCTCACAGAGCCCCTCCTCCAACACACACGAACGCGCACATGACCAATGAGGGCACGAGATAAGTTTGTGCCCAGATGGAAGGCTGACAGGCAGGTAGGCCATCCAGTTACTTTACCGGCTCAGATGATTGGTCGTGCTTTTTACAGCGCCACGGCTTCCACTGATGACATTTTTATGGATTTATTGTCAAAGCATTTAATGTATTCATTGCTATCGGGATGTTAAGAGCATTCCATGGAATATAACAACAAGTGTTTCTGAAATAAATTACATACCCCACCTTTAATGGAAAGAAACAAAAACATCACATGAACAAGGAAAAGTGCGACATCTGAGTCGTACTGGAGTAGAAGGGGAAAGCGGCGGATAATAATAATCAATCAATCAATGTTTATTTATATAGCCCAATATCACAAGCGTTACATTTGTCCCAGTGGACCTTACAGTTTGTACAGAATATCAATACGACTCTAAGAGAAAAAAAGTCTCAAAATGTTGGTTTGTAATAAAACGGTAATCAATATGAACATTGTGTCTAACGTTTTAATGACTTTTACTCATCTGTTATGTTGTGTTTCCTTGGTTTCCTCAGATGAGACAGAGTATGAATACAGTGGCAGTGAAGAAGAGGAGGAAGAGGCAAACGAGCAAGAAGGAGAGCCGAGGTGAGCAAACATTATCAACTCATATGAAACGTTTCGTTATTGCTTATTTGTATGCATTGCACTAAATCCTCAGCATGTCGGGACGTCTGAAGTTGACTTTTGATTTCGTTCTGGTTTTATGTTTCAGTATTTGTAAGCAGCTGTGACTGAAAGAATATTGCTTTTATTTGACCTTTTTATGGTTATTTCATTTTTTGTTGTTGTTATTTTTTGTAAGAAGGGGCAGGTAGAATACGATGTTCTTCTCCCTGCTCCTTTCCACCATGCGCTATACAAAAATAAACAACCAGTATACAAATGTTTTGTAAAGTGTACATATTTTGTTTTAAAATAACTGCCATGTGTGGAATAAACAAATACAAATAATAATAATAATTTAAGATTTAACCCGCTAAAGAGTTACGACAGCAGCTCACGCCTCTCGTCTCCTCCCCCCTGCAGCTCCATAGTGAACGTTCCCGGGGAGTCGACCCTCCGCAGGGACTTCATCCGGCTGCAGCAGGAGAACAAGGAGCGGTCGGAGGCGCTGCGCCGCCAGCAGCACCTGCAGGAGCAGCAGCTCCGAGAGCAGGAGGAGTACAAGCGCCAACTACTGGCCGAGAGGCAGAAACGCATCGAGCAGCAGAAGGAGCAGAGGAAGCGGCTGGAGGAGGTGAGAGAAGATTAATACGATTTATTGATGTTGCTGCAGCATAAAAAGACATGGCATTGTTTGGTGAGCACTAAGCACCTAGAAAGGAACACAATAGATCAACATAATGGAATAACAGATTCATAAATACATGCATAAAAGAGATACAGAATAGTTTAAAAACAAGGTTATCTTGGATGGGTTTACGTTTCTTTGCTTTTTCCAAATGAATTAATGTATATAAATAGTTTAACCAGACTTGTTCAGTGTTGCGTCTCACTAGGGAAACATTTTCAAATATCTATTCATAAACAAAAAGAAACGGCTGCATTATATTAAAAATACTGGCATTTAAAGAGTTAAAGTTTTTTTAAACATTGTAACCAAGGGCCTGATTTGGCCCCCAGTTTGACACATGTGATTTAGAGTATAGAAAATAATTTAAAGAATGGTTTGAATTCATACAAAAGAGTAGTTGTCTCCTATCAGCTGTACAAAATTGTCAAAAAATGTTAAAAACCTTCAGCGGTGACGACTGAAACTGCTAAAACAAAGCTTGTGAAAAACGGTGGTTTTTCTTGAACATTACCTTAAGTATATATACACACGTTTTTATTAGTAATGAAACATCACAGCAGGGCTCCCAGGAGCGACACTGTAACTGAGAATAGGACTAGACTATTGTCTTTTATTGTGATTGTAGTATTATTACATGTACTCGACCAAAAATCGCTTTTAAATGTGCTATATAAATAAAACTTGATTTGATTTAAACATAAATTAATCCCTGTTTCAGAGAACGTGAGTTATTTATGAAGCCTTTGAGGAGGAATGACATCAGCATTTAGGAGCAATGTAGTTTTCTTAGTGGCTAACTTGGGTTTTTATCCCATTTTAAGTACTAATGTTGGTGTGTTGATGCAGGAAGTATAACATTGTTACGATTCTGGAAAAGGTAGGACCCAAATCCAGTTTAAAAAGGGAAGCAGGTTTCAAAATGTAACAAAAAGCGACCTTTATTTACAAAAAAAAGCTGTTGACGATGAAAAATACTTAAACAAAACCATGAATCCAAAAAGTAGGTAACACGAGGCATCCAGACAAAACTAACCGTGACAAACATGAAGGGAAAGACAACGAACCGACCAGGAGCACAGGGGAAGACGAGACTAAATACACAGAAGGGTAATCACAGGACAAGACACAGCTGGGCAGGGGAGGCAGAAACACAAGGGCAACAGGTGAACACAATCAGACAATCAGACACAGGAGGGAAACTAAGGACAGGAAGACAAGACACAGGGAGAACAGAATTTCAACATAAAATCAAGACAGAAAACTAGGATTGTGACAAAAATAGTATAGAAGATATCATAGATGTATGAAAAGCTTTTCTACTTAAGCCAAGGTAAAGGGAATTTCCAACGCATTCTGGACACTTCTGGTCCTGGTTGATTAAAACAAATAAAAAGCTTAATTAATAGAGCTAACGAGGAGAAAGGGATGAAAGTGGACTCTGAAAGGAAGAGCAGGGACCTACATAATAGGACTGACAAACAAATACATGATTACAATAAAGAAATAAGGACTTAAGCCAGTGGAAGAACAAACCACTTTTATTAAGACTGTCAATTTATGAAGCTTTTTTGTGTGTGTATGATGTGTTTATATAAATGACTCCACCAAGCTCGTGGTTTCCCACAGGAGCTCCAGGCTGTGTTTTTGATTCATGACATTGCACGTGTTTGAATCACAGAGTTGAGCTCGAGCCATGTTACAGAGATATCACTGTGCATGTGCTGTCTTTAGCTCCTGTGGATTCTGAAGACTGCATTAGTGCAAACACGATGATACAGTAACCCAAATCTAATGTCCCGAAGCTTTACGCAACACTCTGACTGACAGAAATCAGTTGAATTTCTTCATCGTGTCTTCTTAGAGAGCCGAGTGTCAGATCACTGCCTGTCAGACTTAAAATAGTTTTAATGCAGAGCTTTAAATGGGACGTTTTAACCTTTTTCTGTCACTTCAGCTCATGTCCACCTCTCATACAAGTATATACCTTAAAATATACTGCTATGTTTATTTATTTCCAACAAAACTGCATGTAAATAGTTTTGAAAATGCACAGGACACACATCATGGTTTGCACCATATGAGGATTTATCTGAAATCCTCAAAAAATGAATGCAGGGCATTTTAACCTTTTTCTGTCACTTCAGCTCATCCACGTCTGCATTGATTTACTCATACAAGAAAATACCTTAAAATATACGTTGTTTGTAATCTGATTATTTATATGTAACTGTAAGGGAATACAGTTACTTTTTTTTGTATCCTGATTTTCTAAACCCATTACATGTAACCCGTTAGTCCCCAAGCTTGTTTAACAATACCACTGTAATCTAGGGATGTAACAATACCAAAAACTCACGGTACGATAATATCGCGATAAAAAGTCCACGGTACGATATTTATCGCGATATTGAAAAATAAACTTAAATGAAAAAAAATTATTAAAAGAAATCGCGGTAGATTTTGTCTCACGACGGTATTGAGATATATCGTCCCTACTGTAATCACATCTTGATTTGCTTTGAGTACTTTTTGTGGCTCGGGGAGGATGGTGTAATCGTTTCATTAAAGAAGGGGACAAGTGTTTGTGGAAACGCTCAGAAGCACGGGGACACAAATTAACCCATGATGATCGTTTTAGGTTTCTACCTACAATGTAATCGTGCTAGTAATCCCCATTGTTTAGAAATGTAACAGTAATCTGATTTCTTTATGAACCTGTAAAGGGTACAGCCTGGTGACTACAAGAAAAGGTAGGTTGCCGTCAGTCGTGAACCGGTTTCTCCGTTAACTCTTGTCCTCGTCTCCACAGCAACAACGTCGTGAGCGTGAGATGCGGCGGCAGCAGGAGCGCGAGCAGCGGCGCCGCGAGCAGGACGAGAAGAGACGGGTGGAGGACATGGAGCGGCGCCGCAAGGAGGAGGAGGAGCGCAGGAGGGTGGAGGAGGAGAAGAGGAGGGCCGACCGAGAGCAGGTCAGGGAACACTCACAAGAGGTTGCATTATTTAGTTCAAAAAGTACGCATAGTGGAATCACTATTTACCACTATTTCACTCGTGCTCCAAAACATTGAACGTGATAGAGGGCGGGACATCTCTAATCCGTTGACAAATCACAACAGTGCTAACCAATCAGAGCAGACTGGGCTCTGGTTTCAGACAGAGGGTGAAAAGAGGTGCTGCAGCACAGGCAGTATGAGAAGAGCTTTTTGAACATGGAGACATGTCACCGTAGAGACACTAAATACAAAAACCTATAAATGACCAGACTAGGGCCCCTTTAAATCTAACCTGGGTTGGAAAAGCGATATAAGCTAATAAACACACTCTGTGTTTGATTGACAGGAGTATATCCGTCGTCAGCTGGAGGAGGAGCAGAAGCACCTTGAGATCCTGCAGCAGCAGCTGCTGCACGAACAGGCGATGCTGCTGGTGAGTCGCCTCACTCGAAACTGCAGTTTCCCTCAATATAATATAACCTTTTGGGTTTTTTAAGTATTGGCGACTCATACTCCTTTAACACTTATTCTCTACTTAAATAGTTTCTTCTCTCTTTCCCACTTGCCTCTGTAAATCTTAAATATTCCCTTAATGTTATTTCCATCCGCTTTTCAGTCCCAAGTGATTACTCTTAATGTCTCCACAGCTCACAGGTTGTTAAAAGTCTTAATGCAGCTACTTATAATTCCTCTGCTGCACAAACTTTTCCTTTCGATCTGACTGAATTATGTTTTTGGGACTAACTTATGTCGATCCGCAGGGAGCCTTTAACAAATGAGGTCAGAGCCTAATAAGAATGTCAGGGTTTCTTTCTGTTAGTGGGGATGTTTACAGGCCCGTAGTGATAGTAATGTCGTCACCAGGAAGCTAGTCGTCCAGCTGGAAGAGAGGGTTTCCCCTGATTTAATTCCAGATGTTTCAGGTCTTATGTGGGATATTTCGGTGGTTTGTATGACTTCATGTTTTCAGCTCCTCTTTAGGGGATACAGAGGATACTGGAATAATGAAAGGATACGAGCCCTCATGTCTTCACTTCCAGGTTTCACACCGTCACTTTATTATTGGCTGACTCCCCGGTTCATACAGTCACCATTCATAAACTCTAGCTTTCAAAAATAAAACAAGTTTCCTTCACATCATGATTTGTTGGCTTTCACACTTTTAATAGTCAAACATTTCTTAGGCCACATTAACGAGAACAAATCTTTAATATCTCGTTTAACAAGCGCTTCATACTTTAGATGAAGCTTCTGGCAATCCATCAATTATAATAATAATTCGTCTCATAATAATTCAGTGGTTGAAAGCTATAACTGCTCTAACAGATGTGCAGTTGGACATTCGCCCCACAAGCTTATGTTGCTTTAGTTTTAGGGGGTTAGAGCAAGACTCTCCCGGAAACGATTACTTTTTTATATGAAAGGGAAGGGTAAGGTGGCCAACATGTGCAAATGCATTAAAACGACCCAACACATTTGTGCTGGAGTTCTCGACATCACATGTGTAGCGTTTACTAAAAGAACTGCATAAATGAAATGCTGCAAGAAGTTGAAAACACAACAGAAACCAGGGGTCACTTAAAAGTGATGCACACAGCTGGGATTGTTGACGTTTGGGGATTATAAAGTCACTGGAAACTTTCCTAAAGTGTATCTTTAATTGGCTGATTTGAACAATGTGATCACATGGTTCCTTCCGATATCATTGCAGATATTCTTTAAGCTAGCTAGCTAACGTAGCTAACCTACAACATTTGACAGTTGGCCTACTTTATAATCCCCGAACGCCAACAACAACTTGGTCCCAGCTGTGTGCGTCACTTATTAGTGTCCCCCTTGACTCCATTGTGTTTTGAGCTTCTTGCAGTGTTTTGTATTTTCTTCACTGTTTTGTGAAGTCGGATCAGTGTCTCCTTAGCAACAGTGTGTTCTCCCTAGCAACGGTCTTTGGAATGTTTAAATTGACCAATCAGAATCGCGTATTCATCTAAGCCATGTAATAACTCCTCTTCCCTCCTTCAGAGTGTCCTGTGGAATCAAGAAAACACATTTGAACGTGTTTTGACACATTTTATGTTTTTATACTTTTTTTTAAAGTGCAGCGCCGTTTCTCGCTACAAGTTTTATGGGCCGTTGTAGCGCTCTTGCTATTATACAATAGAAAGGTGAACATGTTTACTTCCCTCATGAAGACCAGGTGGATTTAGAGACTCTTGCAGGTAGGAGGAATGTGTCGGGATCCCAGGAGGTTTTTTCTGTCAGAGGTTCTGGTTCAACCTGCCCCTTCCTGTTACTCAGGAGAATAAATGGCGGGAGCTGGAGGAGCAGCGCCAGGCCCAGCAGCTCCAGAGGCAGCTGCAGCAGGAGCAGGCCTTCCTGCTGTCCCTCCAGCAAAACCCCGGCCTGGATAGTAACAAGTCCTCCCAGCAGCAGAGCTCCAAACCCCCCCAGAGCGGGGAGCACGAGGGGGTGAAGCCCCCGCAGAGCTCTGAGCCAGAGACAACTCAACAACCACAGAGCGCTGCCTCTGAAAAGACGGTTCAAAATCCCAGTCTGGAGAGAACTGCACAACCCAAGCTTCCTGTCGCTGACCCCGCCCCCGACTCTGAGCCAATCAGAGAGGTGAACCCTCGCTGCTGTAGAGCACTTCCTCTGCTTGTGTGAACTCACTCGCACCGTGTGGGGTGTTGGGATGGCTAGCTGCTGGTGTGGGGTGTGTGGACGCTTGGTAGACTTTGTTCTAACTTAGCTGTTTGTTGGCTTGTTTACCACCAGTCTTATTGTCTAACTGCTCGAGTCCTCACTCTGTCTGAGTTTTATCACGATACAATAATACCAAGATCAAGTCTGGCACTTTTCTCGCATCACAGCAACTCCATTTGGATATCAACAAGGACACATATTTAAGACAAGATACAAAGAAAACAAACATTTAACTTAACATCACGATCACTGAAGAGACACCCGCTCAAGACCCTCTGACGTACATTTGACCTTGGATTTAATTAGAGGATTGACTGGTGCACAAAAGAATGCTTCAGTCTGACCTTATTAAAACGCAGGACCCTGTATCTCCGATTTGATGTTAACAATTCATATATAATGAATTTGCTGATTACATTATAATTGAACCAATCAGATTCACTAATTGCAAATGTGATTGAATCTGCAGCCACCTGAAATCGGTTTTCACAAATTGGTTATTCTCAGTTGAAATGCCTAAAAGTTCAAATCCAATTAGAGCCCAAAAGGTTTGGTTAGAGCAGCTCAGTGAAAGCTACAGTAGGAAGAAGTATAAGAGCAGTCATTTTCAGATTTACAGTAGATTGGATTACCTTGTTTTGAGGAACAAATGAGGTCTTGCCAACGATTACTTTGACATTTCAGACTAAAAAACGCTCGTCCTGGACCTTGGTGTGTGTCCTAACCTTTGTGAATGTGTGTCTCTCCACATGGAAAATGCATGACCCTCTTTGCTGGTTGTGGTGCCGTTGTCCTACTAGCAGGGTTGTGGGAATACTGTGGCAACAATAACACCGCTGCCCTGGAGGAAGTGCTTTCTTTGTTGTTCCTCCTGTATCAGCTGATGACTTTCTGACGTGCTTAATTCACCGCTGGTAGAAACCGTCTTTGCGGCGGCGCTAACCATAACGTTTAACCGCTTCTGTCCACTCTTCTTAGCGTCCTCACTCACAACGTCTGTCTTACATACAGAAAATAACAATGTTTCTTTTTCAAATATGACGGATAAAAGTGACTGTTCAGAAAAATACATGATTGGCTTCCTAAATAAGTAGTGAGTCTTAACATAGTTGTTTTACCTGACAACAAGTGTACATTTCACGTTTAAATGCATTTGTATTGAATGTGAGTTATACACGTGATTTTCATTTAGGAGCAGTTGGGTTAAACACGATAACAAAGGGTTTAATACATGAAAAAATGTAGGCGAATTATCACAGATGAGTGAGGGGGTTCTTATAGAATGGCGACCAGCTCATGCTCTGCTCTAAACCACTGCGTCTGTCTGTCCTCTGTAGTCTGATGATCGGTACAGGAAGAACATCCAGGGCTCTCCCCAGGCGGCTCAGATCAAACCCCCGCAGATCAAACCCCCGCAGCCTCCGGTGCCCCCCCGCTCCGATTCCTCCCACCCCAACGGGAGCTCGGCCTCCGAGGCGCCCGCCATGCACCGGCCCGTCGAACCACAGGTAACCACAACGTCCTCAAAACACCCTCCCTCCTTCCTCTGGAGTGCTTCCTTCTTCTTTACTCTCAGAGCTCTTGGACACAGGCAGCATTTTGAGTTTGTGTGACGTCGTACAGGGCCTTGCATTCTCCTATACAGCTCTGGTGTTATTTGACCTGTTTAATGTTTGCATTGATGACGCTGTGTGCTAATGTGAAGGTGTGTGTCACTACGGCTAGACACCATGAGACGTGTTTTAAAGCATTGGTTCTGTTGTAGCTTGGTTACTGTTGTGTATTTTGGTCCAGAGCTTCAGGGAAAGATCTCAACAGATTACAAGTAGCTCAAAATAAAGCAGCACGAGTGTAACAGACATGGATGAAAGTTGGTTGTCTGTCAGGCAGAGATCCACCAATGCTTTATTAACATTTGTGGCAGAAATGTTACACTGCATCAGAGATTTTATGGATGTTTTTTCTCACTTTGCTCAAGCACAATACGCAAAAGAAAGGAGGTTCATGTTACCCTAAAGCTAAATCCAATGTGACATGGTTGATATGATGGTTTGGTCTGTATGGTAATGACCACAGTGAGAGAGCCGATGCTAATGCTTGTGCTAATGGGGATCCTATGAAAGATAATGTGTGGGCGAGGTGGTTGTTTACCACTTTTTCTCCCCCACGATTGAGTTATCAGCGCTTAATGATCAGCGCTTCTGTTGGTATTCTACTCTGGACCTGTTTGTTTAGTAATGTCCTCAACACAACAGAGAGAAGAGAGTAGGGCTGCTCGATTATGGCAAAAATCATAATCTCGATTATTTGGGTCAATAATTGATATCACAATTATTAAAAACGATTATCCATTTACTTTGAAAACATCAATTTATTGAAAAGAAAAATGTGAACATTATGTTTTTAACAGTTGATTACCCTGAACTTTAAGTCTAATCCAACTGAAAAACCAATACAAAAAAAAAAAATATATATATATAAATAATCGTTTTATTTCGATTATGTTGTTTTCATAATCGTTGCAAGCCAAAATCGTAATTGCGATTTAAAATACGATTAATTGAGCAGCCCTAGAAGAGAGTGTGAGTCTCGTGGGAGAAATGCCTTAAAAGCTCATGTAGTCATATGACATGTTCGTTTGATGCCTACATTCAGTACATGTCCTTTCCATATCATTTGACCTGTAATGACCCCTGTTGTGTTGGGTGAAAGACTTCCTGTTGAGACTTCAAAATAAAAGCCTTCCTGGTAGGGTGTGTCATGTATGAACAGGAAATGTTGACGCCGGGCTGGTTAGTCTTTGTTCGGTTTACACTAGCTCATTTTTCTTTTCTCTTAATTGTTTTTTGTTGGAGGATTGGTGAGAAACGATGCAGAAATCATTTAAATAATGTCTAGCTGCTGTTTGAAGCTTGTGTTAATGTGCTGGGCTCTGACAGTAAAGTTTAATTTGGACTGTTAAAGTTAAAGCAGTAATTGTACAATGATTATGCTAGCCATAAAACAATACGGTTTGATGTATGCGGTACTTTAATGTTGTCTGATGATATAGTCATTGACAGTAAAGCCCTTTTGAAACTGGTGGTTGTAGAAAGCATTTTTTCGGTGTGAAAGGCTTGCATTTGATATTGTTTAGAAGATGCTGAGTGTGGATGCACATTTCCCGATAATGCTGGCTTTGGGATTTACGAAGCTGTCATTTACTTGGCAGCATTCCCTGCATTGAGTCAAGTGAAAGCCTTGTGTTTCCAATCTCGCTAGTAGCTTTCTCTTCATGTTGCTGCTCCTTCCATGTCGATTAACTCTGGATTTGCTGACCTGTGTATTTCCCTTTTATCTTCCAAGCAATAACCCTGATTAAAGTTCTCTATTTCAGGTGATTTTATTCTGGGCTTTCCTCTCAACTCTTTCAGGTTGTTTCCTCTGGATAATGGATCTGCTTTTGTTGAAGACCCTTTTAAACGTCAGGGTTGTTATCGATTCAATTTGAATCCACCAATCTTATTGTGTATCTTCGTTTAATCTCCAAGTTAATGCTAATGTTCAGACCTTCAAGCCATTACATATGTTTGATTGGATCCATTTGTTAATCTAAAAGAAAACTATGGTGGCCGACAGGTGCATACGTGCTACACCGGCCCAACATATTTCCATTAGGAGAAACGCACTGCCGTTTCCAAAACGATGGCAAATGAAGAAGCATCTTCACCAACTTCACGAAATATGCACAGCGTTTACTAAAAGTGCTGCATAATTCAAACGCTGCAAGAAGCTCAAAACCCAACAGAAGCCACAGGACACTAACAGATTATTCACACTTGTTGATGTTTGGGCATTATACAGTTGGCCAGAGTTTGGTATTTACAGTGTGTCGTTTAAGCCCCTGTCACACTGTCCCGAAATTGACACCCGATGGACACACGATAAAGGAAATGTTCAAATTCGGCTGTGATCGTAGCAACATCGGGCCATTCGTGAGGGCATCTAAGCCATCGTATAACCGCCGGTGGAGTTTCTCAGGCTCCGGCAGCAACTTCGTGAGCGGTGGCAAAATCTTTGGCATGCCAAAAAATAGCCGAAGGACCTTGAGAAGGTTCATTTTCGTGTTGAATTCGACAGGAAGTTGTTGTTGCTATGGAAACAACAACATGACGGAGAAAACGTAATATCTTCTACATATAAAGACGGAGAAAGTAAAGAACAAAGTCTGAAGATATCAGTACAGTATCATAGTACTGTAACATAATTGTTGTTGGTACTTTCATTGCAGTTGTATGTCTTAAATGTAATGTAAATGTTGCCTTCGTGTGTGGTTCGGGGCCATCTTCGTGCGAAATTCACAATTCCATATTCGTGTGTCCATCGGGTGTCCATTTCGGGACAGTGTGACAGGGGCTTTATGCAGCGCTTTTAGTAAAGTTTCCATGTTTCGTGCAGTTGGTGAAGATGTTCCTTCATATGTGTTTCTCCTCATGGAAATGTTTGGGCTATTGCTGCCATGTGCACCTGTTGGACACCGTAGAAATATCTTTTTCTACTCACAAGGAACCAAATTGAAACGATAACAACCCTGTTTATAAATCCCTCTGCCATGATTAACTCTTTGATTGACAGGTTGTCCTCCCACTCGTCAAAGCAAACAAAAGCACGTACTCTGAATGTGTAATTATTTCTCTTTTTCCCAAAGTCCGCCGATACGATGTGTTTGCTTGTATGTTGGGATCGGCACATACTGTAACTCCTCATTGTGTGCTGCTGATTCAAATCATCCATCATTTATCGGCACCCAGATTTACAGCAGGGTGACTCAGACATAAGTCTTCTTCCCAGAGAAAGACTCAACCCACTAAGCATGAATAATCACAGTTCATTGAAGTCAATCTGTTTTGAATATGTCACACAGATTAAATTATTCAAATGATGCTGTAACATGGTAACATGAGGGCGATGATGTAATTCACTGGTGTTTAATTATGCATTTGCCATTATGTTAAAAGTGGAATCAGTTTTCTCTCATTAGCCGCGAGTCAGTTGTGGCGTTGTGTTTTAACTTTGTTACACGCATGTACTTCACTGAATCAAACTTAGCTGGGTTCATCTGACGTCTTAGATTGATTGATTAGTGCTGATTAAAGAAAATTGGAAACTGCAGACTGAACTACTTTAGTTTCCAAGCGGGAAGAAGCTGAAGTCTTGGCGTAATCTTGTATGCAATCAAACGTGGAAGATATCCAGTTCCCTTTAAACAACAGAAACTACTCGATTCTGCTGCTACTCGATCATGGTTAAAGTGAAAGAAAGGACCAATTCCAAACCGACCCCAACACACTCCCACTAAGCGACTGAGTGAACTCTTTCTGTAGTCACACAGTTGAATCAGTGGAGGGTGTAAATACAGCGGAAAGCTTTGGGACAAACTCCACTCTCTCAAGCAGGAACTGTTGTAACTTTTTGTTTCGTGGAAGTTGAGACGGAAAGGTTGTCAGGATCAGTTTGGAATTGGGCCAAAGTGTCCTCCAGAGTTCAAATCTCAAGCTTTCTTTGCCGTGCTGTGACTGTGTGCATGTGGTCTGACCTGCATTTGGTTTTGCTTACATGTATGTTTGCATGCCAGCCTTTAATCCTGCTTTATTTACACAATTCATCCTCATGCTTAGCGACGGTGGTGAAGCTTTAAACTTCCTGTGGACTACAATTGGTGAAACTCATGTTGACTCATCTGAAACATTATTTAAAAATAAGTGTTAATGTAAATAACAATGGATGAGATACTACATTTCAATCAAGGCAGATTAAGTATTGTATGTATTCGTCAAGCTTTAAAATGCCTTGAAGTTACATGTATTATTTAATTTAGTATTATTTGGGAAATACTTATGTCATCTATTTATCATCCTCTCCTTTTAATGGATATTGAAAGCATCCTACAGTAATGAATGTAAGTGGATGACACCTGAAGTCTCCTTTTTGTTCGAGATGCACCACATAGTCTACAATTGTAATACACAAACGGCACTATAGCTGAACCAAGTAATTCCCTTAAAGGTAATTAAGGATGCTTATTAATTGGGAATGAGTCAACAATAAGAGTCTCACCTATATTTGTCTCAGGATCTACATCTCTTCATTCACTGCCTCCTATTTGTGTTGCTTTTTAACTTTTGTTTTCCCCCTGTTCTCTCAGAAATCAAAAGTATGACATTACATTTGTGTGTACTTGGATTTTGAGATTATCCCTTCTCTCTTCCTTCTTTGTAAATGTGGTATATTTAGGGGTTGTGTCATGATTTGGAGCCGTGCATTAAAACGCTGAAGATCCTCTGAAGCAAATAGGTCATGTTTTCCATGCAAACAACAGGATAGCAGTTGAAATGCCTCCTCTGTAGTTTGAGTCAAAGTTCAAAGTAAAATCAATGTTTTATTCCATGTGTTTATGTAATGGGTTGCCGTGATGGTGATGCAAGACCCTGACACAGTTATCCTGCGTATTACAAGGATGCTTACTAAAAAAATCCATCATTTGAAACAGCATTTGGATCAAAAATGTATTACCTTTTTCTGAGTCTTTACCTAAACTACCTCCATTGCAAAAGTCTAATAAATAGCAGATGTAACTGACCTGGATTATAATTGAGTTTTCAACAAAGCTGTGCATCAAGGATGGTTGGAAGGGGTTACTTAAAAAAAAGTTACAATTACTAACTAGGGTTGCAAAATGCCGGGAATTTTCAAAGATGGAAACTTTACATGGGAATAAACGGGCATTTTCCAAATTGAAGGTTGGCTCTTCATAGGGAACTTAAATATAGTTGGGGAAAGTATATTTTAGCATAATCTTGACTAAAACAAACCGATGCCATTCAAGTACACTTGAATATCCATGCCATTCCTCCATCACATGCACATAGCACACTGCTTACTGCATGGCTATTGAGACCACACCCCCTACAGCAGGGATGGGCAACTTGGATGGTGGTGGGGGCCACATAATTTATGTACCGGCCACCAGGGGGCCGCAGATTCACTTGGAACACACACACACACACACACACACACACACACACACACAAATTAGTAGTAGCAACGGTCTGCAAACATACTCAACGTGGTGGTTTACCCCTGGATTCAGTGAAAAGATATTCTTTCTCCCACTTTACTTGGAAAACACGATTTTGCTCAGATACCTTTCTCTTGCTCATGCTGACATCCACAGAGGGCTGTGCTCATATGTGACCCGTCGGAAGTCGCAACGGCTCATTTCAAAATAAAATGATACAATTGGATTACATTACCCTCAATTCCCAGTTAGTTCCCATTCATTCCCATGGAAAGTTTCCAATATGGAATATTTCCAAAATTCCCCAGCTTAACTTCCCATGGAAATGTACCGGAAATGATCCTCCCCAAATGTTCCTCCCCAAATGTTCCGCCCCAAATGTTCCGCCCCAAATGTTCCTCCCCAAATGTTCCTCCCCAAATGTTCCTCCCCAAATGTTCCTCCCCAAATGTTCCGCCCCAAATGTTCCTCCCCAAATGTTCCTCCCCAAATGTTCCACCCCTTTGCAACCCTACTAGTAACATGTGAACAAATAAGTAATGTAACCTGATTACTTTCTGTTACTTTTCGATTACCTCAACATCAAATGCAATGCAAATACACAGACAAGAAAATAAAGAAATATCTATGAGATGTTTTTTACTCAAGTGTATTATAAGAAAATAGAACAATGTGATTTTAAAAAGAAGAAACCAACGTATGTAGTACCATACAAACATACATAAATGATTCTCTTACAAGTAAAGAGTGAATGTATACCTTTCAACTGTCAGTAAGCATTAAGCAACAAGACATAACGTTGGGTCTTATACCTCTCATGCCGTACTTTAAGTGTGTTGCTGGGTATTTGTAATTAATAAGCCCTGATGTTGGCATGTTTGAACATTTAGAGATTATAGTTAAGTGATAGATTTATTACACAGCTCTGAAGAAGAAGATGAGCATTTAATCTCTTTCGATGTGCAGCTGCAGCTTTTAAATTAATCTGACGGCATTCAATTCAGACTTCTCAGTGTTGAAGGTGATGGAGGATTGAAATGTTACAGGTCAGTGAGGCTGCTGTCGTGACTTTAATGTAACAGAGACTCAGACATAAGGTTGGAATAAAAAACATATCCATCACAGCTCTAATGCAGTGATTTACAATTCTGGTCCTCATTGCTCTTCTGCTTAATAACAAGCCAGGAACCATTTAAACACATTTATTGCCATGCTTGGGGAGTAACAGATTACATGTTACAAGATACAACAAAAAAAGTCACTGTATTCACTAACAGTTACATAAAAAAAGTGTCATCAGATTACTGTTACATTTCAAAAAGGGGATTACTCGCAGGATTACAACATTACAATACACTTTAAAAGATACAAAAACAATATAGCATAGGTAGACAAACTACCTGAATGTCCTTTAATTCTTCTTTATTTTACATATCTTATTTTTAATTCAGTAGGTTGATATCTATAAGACAAAAAAAACTGTGTATGCTTTAAAAATTAAACTCAATCACTATTCTGTGGACTTCCCGAAGCTTTCACTTACAGTAGGCGTTCCTCAGGGAACAGTGTTAGGCTCCTGTGTGGCTCAGATCTGACACAAACCTCTAAAGATACCCAGAAGCCCCTCTCTTTTATGCACTGCATGCAGACTGACCCTTCCTCCCCCGCTGTGTTTTTGTTGTCCGTAAGGTCCGCTCCCACCTGGCTGCTTTAAAGAGCAGCGGCAGTGTGAACTCGTCAAACTCCATCGCGTCCGCCCCGCCTCTCGTGTCGCGGCCGCACTCCTTCAGCGAGCCGCTCTCCTCTAGCTTTGAAAACCTTCACCTCCGCAACAGCAACAACAAGCAGGAACCCCACCATCACCCTCCATCTTCATCACCATCATCATCTTCAACGCCTGCACGCACTGACCCACAACCCAAAACCCAGCATAGGCCCAATGAAACGGCCCCTTCTGAGGAGGTACCGCCCCGGGTAAGGACAGGGAGGAAAAGGTGGTGTAGTCTGGAAGTAGTAGATTCCCAAGAGATCAGAGATGGCAAAAGTACACACATCCTACCTTTACTCAAGTAGAAGTACAGATACTCGTGTTTAAAAATACTCTGGTAAAAGTAGAAGTACTGACTAAACTTCTTTACTCAAGTGAAAGTACAGAAGTATGGGCTTTGAAATGTACTTAAGTAAAAAGTACCCATAACTAGCAGCTGTTTTAAAGAGTACCTGACCTCCCTTTATATTAATAGAACAATAATGTCATTGTTAGCTAATGAATGTTTCCATGCTGAACAACGGCAACATGACAACGTTTCCATTGGTCCCTCTTCTTTAGAGAAGACCAGGACATGATGGATACACGGATCGTGTTCAAATCAATAGGCACGCAATGACTCTAAAGAATAATGATCACGCATCAAACACACATTCAGACTAAAGGAACCAGCTGTTTGGGAAATGAGAGAAGTAGAAAGTACAGGTATTTGGGTTCAACATGTAAGAAGTAGAAAGTACAGGTATTTGAGTTCAACATGTAAGAAGTAGAAAGTACAGGTATTTGAGTTCAACATGTAAGAAGTAGAAAGTACAGGTATTTGAGTTCAACATGTAAGAAGTAGAAAGTACAGGTATTTGAGTTCAACATGTAAGAAGTAGAAAGTACAGGTATTTGAGTTCAACATGTAAGAAGTAGAAAGTACAGGTATTTGAGTTCAACATGTAAGAAGTAGAAAGTACAGGTATTTGAGTTCAACATGTAAGAAGTAGAAGTAGAAGTACAGGTATTTGAGTTCAACATGTAAGAAGTAGAAAGTACAGGTATTTGAGTTCAACATGTAAGAAGTAGAAAGTACAGGTATTTGGGTTCAACATGTAAGAAGTAGAAAGTACAGGTATTTGAGTTCAACATGTAAGAAGTAGAAAGTACAAGTATTTGAGTTCAACATGTAAGAAGTAGAAAGTACAGGTATTTGGGTTCAAAATGTAAGAAGTCAAAGTAAAAAGTCGTCAGAGAAATAAGTAGTGGAGTAAAGTACTGATACCAGAAACATGCACTTAAGTACAGTAACAAAGTATTTGTACTCCACTACTTCCCACCTCTGGAAGACATCAATCTGTCATTATCCCGAACTGTTAAATTCAGTACTTTAATAGCTTCCCACCCTCTGCCTGATTCTTTATCCTACCACTAATTAATTTATTGGATTTGCAGAAAAAAGATCGATTTGTTTAATTAAATCCACATTGACTAAATACTGAAAAGAGAAGGGCTACCTTAGCGTTTCTGAGAAAATCACACATTGTTCTGAATCTATTTCCCCTGATATGCAGAATATCCAGGGAAAAGGAAGTCCCTCTGTGGTTTGAATTTGTAATGACAAAAAGAGAGGTAGCTTGCTTTAATTATAAAACACAACAGGGGGTTGCATCCATCCCCGGGTGGCCGGTAACACTATAGAAAGTTGAGAAAATCTGTCTCATGATGCTTAATCTTCCCTCTCAAGACTTATTTTGTCTGCACGGCCACAAAAGCGCCTAAAACAACTACAGAAGAAGAGAAAATTACCAAAGGAGGAGAGAGAGCTGCTTTTAGAACACAGTTTTCCCACCTAAATGTATAGCGTGCTAAGTATAGGATGGACAGGAAGGCTGTGAATGTGGTAAACCCACACATTTAGGTGGCCAGACTCCTAAAGAGTAGGGAAGTTATTTATATATGTTCATTTTACAGAGCCAAAGTTAGTAAAAGACACCATGTGTTATACACTTCCAAGCTGAACTACAACCCTGTAAAGACATAAAATACATTGTTAATGTTAATTGCACAAGTCATTTCAGTCTTGCAATAAAGGAGAAGCATGTCACTAAGGAAGGATGGATTTCGTCATTACCATCAGTCCACATCTTTTTCATTTTGCCTCCTCTAAAAAAAGCATAATAATGGCTGCTAATGCTATACTAAATGATGATGGCTGCTGTGACTGGAAACTACTTTCTGCTCTGCTGTGCTTGTATCGAGCTTTGGATGCTACCAAATGTTCTGCTTGGGCTTTACTAAATGTACATGCACCTTTGGAAGCAGTGGAGTTAAGGCTATGGGTGTGATGGCCTGGTTTTACATTGGTGCTGTGGGTCGTGGTCGGTGGAGATGAAGGCTTTAGTTGGTAGAGCACACTTGAAGAGAACCTGTGTTTTAGATGCACAAGTTAAATAAAGTACTGTAGTCTCTTGATTTTGCCAGCAGGTATTCCCGTTGTGCAAAAATGGCCCTCTTAACGCAAAAGACTCGAACAAATTTGAGTTTGAATATGAATGCAGCGTAAGAGTTAGCAACTACTCTGGAGTCATTTAGCACGATGGTGTCAACGAGGCTTGTTGTGATGCTACGACTTCAACGTCTTTACAGAAGGTTTTTTGTGTGTATTTAATTTTTTCGGTGCACTTACAAGCCCATTACAAGTGTGTTTACGTGTGAGCTGGTCACTGTCTTTATCAAACAAGGTTCCTGTAAGGACTACTTCAAGGTCCCCGGTGTTGTCAAGGCGAGACTCGCCTCATCACGGCAGCCATGCTGTGCCCCGTCCCGCTGCAAGGTAACGGACCTGATGTGCTTTTAATTCTTTGTTTCTATGGAAGTAGGAATGGAGTTTAATAAGGTAACATGCCTGATGTGTGCATGGATATAATAGATATCTGTTGGATTATTAAAACATTAATGATTCTTAGTACAACCAGTTAAGTAAATTCTTCAAGGTTTGACAAAAGTATTTTTTGCAATATCAAAAATGTAGGATATACAAATATGAGCATGTAATGGTATGGGATTCTTCAATATAAATACGAAACAGTTGTTAACATGAAAACACTTTATTTATTTAGTGGACCCAGGATACTGCCCTGTGGGACTCCGCTGCCTTTCAGTGTTGGAAGAAGTACTCTGATCCTTAACTTAAGTGAAAGTACAAATACTATGGTCTTGAAATACTCCACTACAATTAAAGGTCGTGATTTCAAAATTCTACTTAAGTTAAACTTGAAAAGTATTAGCATTAAAATGTACTTAAAGTACAGAAAGTACTCCTGCATAATGGCCCATTTCAGAATACTATAAAGAACAGAAGTATTATCAGCTAAATGTATTTTGAATGGATCTTTCCACAGTTTTAAGTATAAGATGCTTCTTATTTTATCCTGTTTTTATACATGTAAGAGTATGTTGTTTTCATTGTATTGTAGTTGGTCAATATGGACCAAATTTAGATACCAGAAATACAGTGTAGGTTAGCAGTACAGGACTGCATGATACCATATCAGAATATCATGTGTTTTTATATGTACAAAGTAACTGTGAGGGTTAAAATAAATATAGTAAAATGTCCGATATTCACCTCTAAAAGGATGCAGGTTAAAAGTCAAAGGTAGCATAAAATGAAAAGATATAAGTAAAGTAAAAATATATCAAAAAGTATTTTAGTACAACACTTTTGTAAATGTACTTAGTTAATTTCCAGACGAAAATAAATCAGTGGAGCAGCTGTAAATAGAGCTGGATCAGTCGGTGTCAATTTGTCTGCAGCCTTCAGTGGAAAAGTGTTTCTTAAGTGTGTGAAGCCGTGTGAAACCAGTCTGCTGTTTTTAACTATGTAATATAAAAGAGATAACAAAAATAACTTTCAAAAAAGACTGCGAAAACAAACCCTTGCCTTGTTCAGAGATGGATTTAACACACACACACGTTAAGAGGAGTGTGTGTGTTAAATCAGTGAACCCAGTCTCCCCACTGTGCGCTGCTGTAGTCTTTGTTTATGGAGTTGTGTGGGAGGGTTTATGTAACACAGCTAGCTGTCTAACCTTGTGCTCAAACACACATGCAAAGTTGTCTATTTGCAAGCCTTAAGTCGTCTCATGAGAGTCTCTGTGTGGCATCTTACTCCCTGGGGTGCTGTACGTTGTTTTTCTCAAGAACAAAATATTGTCTGTTTTTACTTTACAACTCGCAGCGATTTAGCACATTTTACCTCATCGTGGAATTTAAATATAATCTAAATGGCCATTATTAGGCAGGGTTTTTTCAATGTCTGCTTCACTTTTTAATTATTTAGGCACCTCTTAAAGGTCCCCTATCATACTGTTTTTCATCAATATATTATAGGTCTCAGATATATACAAAACATGTCTCTGATTGGCTGAAACACCAAACAGATCATTGCAGCATTACCCATAATCCCCTCTGATTCAGCCCTGTTTCAAAAGTGCTGATTCTCTGTCTGTTACTTTAGATGAAAACAAGGAGCCCCTCCCCACGCCCCTCTGAGAGAGATTTGGTTAGGGGGGGGCGGTTACCTTGGTTGCTGATTGGCTAATGGTTACACGAGACAAAACATCGTTATGACATCATAAGGTGGCCAAAATCTGATCAGATCATTTTCAGACAGGTTTTTATAGAAATGGATCAAAAAGAGAGAGAATCTTTGTTCCTGAAACTTTCAGAGTCTCTTTACACAGAGGGGACACATGTTGATGTAGAAGAGACATGAAGAAGAGGGGACACATGTTGATGTAGAAGAGACATGGAGAAGAGGGGACACATGTTGATGTAGAAGAGACATGAAGAAGAGGGGACACATGTTGATGTAGAAGAGACATGAAGAAGAGGGGACACATGTTGATGTAGAAGAGACATGAAGAAGAGGGGACACATGTTGATGTAGAAGAGACATGAAGAAGAGGGGACACATGTTGATGTAGAAGAGACATGGAGAAGAGGGGACACATGTTGATGTAGAAGAGACATGAAGAAGAGGGGACACATGTTGATGTAGAAGAGACATGGAGAAGAGGGGACACATGTTGATGTAGAAGAGACATGAAGAAGAGGGGACACATGTTGATGTAGAAGAGACATGGAGAAGAGGGGACACATGTTGATGTAGAAGAGACATGAAGAAGAGGGGACACATGTTGATGTAGAGGAGACATGAAGAAGAGGGGACACATGTTGATGTAGAAGAGACATGAAGAAGAGGGGACACATGTTGATGTAGAAGAGACATGAAGAAGAGGGGACACATGTTGATGTAGAGGAGACATGAAGAAGAGGGGACACATGTTGATGTATAAATGAAAAAGTGGATTTTGCATAATAGGTGACCTTTAAATCGGAAATGTATATCAGTTATTGTCAGAAAAAAAAAGCGACCCAATGTTTTAAAAATCACATGGTAAGAAAAGTCTCTACAACGTCTCCATCGCTAACTCTGTTGCCTATTGGCCCCGCAGTGCGCCGGAGCCTCGGCTGCTGTGGGAGCGCGTGGAGAAACTGGTTCCCAGAACGACCGGTAATAACAGCGGAGGCTCCAGCTCCTCCAGCAGCTCCAGTAACTCCAGCTCTAAGCCCGGGTCTCACTGCGGCTCTGGAGAAAGGTTCAGGGCCCGCTGTGAGTCCAAACACACACATGTTGACCAATCAGCACTTACAGGAGGTGGATAAAATAACCGAAACACCACCATTAACATACAGCAACAGGGTTGGGAGGGTTACTTTCAAAATGTATTTTGTTATGAATACTAGTTACCTGTAAAGAAATGTCATCAGGAACCTAATCTGAGTATCAAATTATAAAAGTAACCTGATTACTTTCTGTAACTTTTGGATTACCCATATATCAAATGCAAAGAGAAAATAAATATCAATACTTATTTGATACTTAAGTGTATTATAAGGAGGTGGACAAAATAACTGAAACACCATCATTATCTTACGGCTACTTCTAAAGCTAGTCAGCTGTACAGGAGCAACACAAGCTTGGTGAAAATATAACATTTTAAAAAAGGGTTGGGAGGGGGTTAACTGTAAAAAATGTCATCAGTAAGTTACAAAGTATAAAAGTAAGTGATTACTTTCTGTTAGTTTTGGATTACCCCAATATGAAATGCAATGTAAATAAATACAAGACAAAATAAATATTGATACTTACTGTAAGTGTATTATGTAAGACAGAACAATGTGATCTTAGCAAATAAGAAACCAAGGTATTTAGTATAAAAAATATACTGCAGGTACATTAGCTTCAAATGAACTCAACCATCTTACAATTTAAAAATAGATTTTGATGTCCATGGTTCAATGGATAACATGCATACACATTTGGAATTTGCCATTTAATGATCTTTTCACCTCCACCTCCTTCAGCCTCCTCCAAATCAGAGGGTTCTCCCCTCCTGCGGCCAGAGAATGCTGGGAAAAAACCAGAGGAGAAGAAGAACAGACCGGCGGTGAGACTCAAAGCTAGTGCTGTAGCTCGATAGCAGGGGTAGAGTTAGACGTAGTGTGTGTGTGTGTGTTGTCATTATAACGTGGTTTGGGTTTGTTTGAAAGCTGGACTTGATCTCCTTGTGTGAATGATATTAAACTGGCTGGTTTGGACTGTGTCATGTGATCGGCTCCTCATCCAATAGAGTGACTTGGTGAAATGAAGTCTTTGGGTTTCCTGCACTTATCGCTTTGCTTTCTCTCCACTGGTCTTCCTGCCTGGGCGGCGGCCATCTTATAACTCATGCCTTCTCTAACCTCAATTAACTTTTTTCAAGCTTCTAATAACTGTGGCTTTATTCAAATGAATTCACTAACCTTACCTTCAGTGGCTTGAAGGTCCGACAGTCATCTCTTTCCTCGCCTCATCTCTCGGCTCTGCTGCTCTCACGCTGGCTTCTCATTGGCTGGTGATAACCCCTCTTCCCTTTCCTGCAGCTTTCTGTTTCCTGGCTGCTACTTTCTTTCACAGGAAGATTAACCGAATGTGACATTTAAGCTTACGGCGCGGCGAGTGTATAAAATGCCCAGAATCGACATCAATCCATGAGATAAAATGTTGAAGTCATTTTCACCTCTCACCTCCTGACCTTTAGGACCTGACGGCTCTGGCCAAAGAGCTTCGTGCAGTGGATGACGTTCGCCCCCCCAATAAAGTGACAGATTATTCATCCTCCAGCGATGATTCAGACACCACCGATGAAGATGATGATGAAGAGGTGGACCAGGAGGGCGGCGAAGAGTCGACCTCTGGCCCGGAGGACTCCAAAGCTGTGTATGTACAACTTTAACCTCTGATCTCACTCAGTTTAGGGATTTGTTGACATTTGTTTATCTATTGAAGCAAGTAAGAACTAAATATTGTCTTTCTTGCCTTGTTATTTTTTTTTGTCAAGAAATATGTGTTGTATAGTTATATAATGTGTTAGCAAGTTATATAAAATGTCCTTTTTTCAGTAGGGTGTAAATGTATTTGAGTCTGTGCTTTTTTGTCCTATGTTGAAAATGAGACAGAAGTTGCTTTAACTTTTTGTGGATTTAAGAAATATTACAACTAACTAAATAACCAGCCAAAACTGTTTTTTTTACATATGACTTATTTTAAATAATTTAATAAGAATACCAAAAACCAAATGTTTCAGAAATATGATATTTAAAACAATAATATGGAATATAACTAATATGGCAAGTAATGTAAAATAACTTTCATTCATATAAAGAAGTTTTAATCTGTGCTAATTTGTAGCTTTAAAGTCCTATTTTGAACATGCGGCACTGGTCCCTTCAGCTTTTTGTGACTTTAAAGGTCCCGTGTCATGGCCATTTCTACTGATCATAATTCCATTGTTGAGGTCTACTAAAAATAGATTTACATTGTTCAATGTTCCAAACTCACATTGGTTTCTCCTACAGCATCTCTGTATAGTATGTGTGTTCACTCTCTGTCCTAAACGGCTTGTTGGAGCTCCTGCCCCCCCCCCTCCCTGTGAGCCCAGTGGCCGTCTGCGAGACAGCGAGACACAGCGAAACCCAGCCCGAAACACACACACACACACACACCTGCAGCCTGGCTGGGAGTTTGTGTGTGTGCCCAGGCTGAGTTCCGCGGTGTCTCGCTGTCTCGCAGACCCCACACCAGTGAGCCAGCTCACAGTGTCCCGCTCCTCGCAGCAGCGAGCCTCGCAACGTCCCGCCGAGTGTGGAAGTCCGCGGATTGGTCCAAACGTAACGGCTCCGTTACGTTATGTCACTATACCCGAAATACGTCACTATACCCAAGAAGTAAACAATGGAAAAAGAGAAACAACGAGGCGTTCTGGGGCAGCACAGACAGGTATTTTCTGTGTTAGAGTTTTACTCGCTACAGGGTGCACTTTGAGGGGTTGTGACTCTGCAGACCGTTTACATGCAGAACAAGCTACATAACACACAAGGGGACGGGTAACAACCAGAAAAGCATGACATGGGACCTTTAAGGATTATTAAAACCACAGACACTTAAAATAAATATATAATAAGCCAAACAACCAGAAAAAAAGCATTTTATAAGAACTCTCTTGTGAAAAAATACTTTCAGAGACTATTTATTATATATTAAGGAATAAAAAAAGATGTTGACCTTAAGAGACAGTCTTTTAGATCTCTCTTGATCTTTCAATGCCTCCATTAAAAAAAACGTTTTCCCCCAATTGCTTGTGTTGTAAATCTTCTTTTCTCCTGCAGTTCTTCCAGGCTGAGCAATGGAGAGACAGAGTCGGTGAAAACCATGATCGTTCACGACGAGGACGCCGGCTCGATGCCCTGCAAAGACAGCACTCTGATCGTCAGACAGGTACCACCGGAGAGGAAGACAGGACACACACCTTCATCATTCACCACACACACCTTCAGTTGTTTTGTTGTGTACTCTGTTCATTCATACACCGAATGTTTTCCCCTTTTGTTTGTTCGTTGATTTTGTTCTGTTGTTGTATGATTTCTGGTCAGTGGAGAGCAGCTGAATTAGCGTAGATTGGATATACGATACGATAATACTTTATTGGCAGATTAAGTCTAAAATGGTTATTGCATCACAGCAGCTCCATTTGCAACATCGACAAGGACAAATATTGAAGACAAGATATAAAAGGGAACAAAAATGTAACAAAACATCACGATCAACAACTGCATTGGTCTCGTGCCACGAACGTTTAAACTCATAATTCAACTTCAACTTAATGATGCTAACATAAAACCCATAGCTGATATAATAATGGGGATAAACTACATTTGTTTTACTTTAATTTAGGTCTTGACGGTTTTCAATGAAGTTATTTAATCAGAATTGCAGTTATCATATGCTTTAAGTTCAGATAAACAGCACTAAATTATCATATTATCTTAAAGGTCTCCTATTATACTGTTTGTCATCAATATATTATAGGTCTCAGATATATACAGAGCCTGTCTCTGATTGTTTGAAACACCAAACAGATCATTGCAGCATTACCCATAATCCCCTCTGTTTCAGCCCTGTTTCCAAAGTGCTGATTCTCTGTCTGTTACTTTAGATGAAAATAAGGAGCCCCTCCCCACGCCCCTCTGAGAGACATTTGGTTACAAAGAACTCAATGGTGCTCTAGGAGGAGATTCAGGTGATAAGGTGGGGGGGGGGGTTACCATGGTTGCTGATTGGCTAATGGTTACACAAGACAAAACATCGTTATGACATCATAAAGTGGCCAAAATCTGATCAGCTCATTTTCAGACAGGTTTTTAAATGGATCAGGACAAAAAGAGAGAGAATCTTTGTTCCTAAAACTTTCAGAGTCTCTTTCCACAGAGGGGACACATGTTGATGTAGAAGAGACATGAAGAAGAGAGGACACATGTTGATGTAGAAGAGACATGAAGAAGAGAGGACACATGTTGATGTAGAAGAGACATGAAGAAGAGGGGACACATGTTGATGTAGAAGAGACATGAAGAAGAGGGGACACATGTTGATGTAGAAGAGACATGGAGAAGAGGGGACACATGTTGATGTAGAAGAGACATGAAGGAGAGGGGACACGTGTTGATGTAGAAGAGACATGAAGAAGAGGGGACACATGTTGATGTAGAAGAGACATGAAGAAGAGGGGACACATGTTGATGTAGAAGAGACATGAAGGAGAGGGGACACGTGTTGATGTAGAAGAGACATGAAGAAGAGGGAACACATGTTGATGTAGAAGAGACATGAAGAAGAGGGGACACATGTTGATGTAGAAGAGACATGGAGAAGAGGGGACACATGTTGATGTAGAAGAGACATGAAGGAGAGGGGACACATGTTGATGTAGAAGAGACATGAAGAAGAGGGGACACATGTTGATGTAGAAGAGACATGAAGAAGTGCATTTTGCATAATAGGTGACCTTTAAATTCAGATAAACATAATTTTATCTTAAAATCGAATGACTAACGAGAGTTTTCCTTCCGCCTGTAGAGTAGCTACTGTAGTCGGCCCTTCGCTCTAGCAAACACCTTCCCTTCGCCTCAGCTGCTCAGAATCACATGTAGACCCACAGTCTGCCCCTCTTTCTACTTCCAGAGTGCAGGTGACCACAGAAAGCGTCAGACAGGGGCTCAGACCCCCGGCCCGCTCCCAGGCTTTGCCCCTCACCCCGGCATCGTGTCCAGCCCGGGCCTCGGCCAGCACACCCCCAGCCCCCCCCATCATCACCACCATCACCACCACCACCATCACCCCAATCTACCCACCACTCAGCACCCGGACAGGAACGGGTTCTCTGGGCACATTCACCACCTCCCAGACCTGATCCAGCAGAGCCACCATTCCTCCCCCTCCTCCTCTGCATCCAACTCCCCCTCCTCCTCCTCCAGCCTCTCCAGCCCCGCCATGTCCCCTCAGAGTCCGCTGGATAAACTCACCCTCCTCATCGAGGTACGTGGCCCCCAGCCCCCCAAAAACAGGACTCTCGCTTCAGAAAGGGGACGTTTCTTGTAAAGTCTTGAACAGGAAGTGACAATCATCATGGCTGCCAGAACTGGGATCACAGCAGAGTGGAAACTAGGGCTGCTCAATTAATCATATTTTAATCGCAATTACGGCTTGCAACGATTACAAAAACAACGTAATCGAAATAAAACGATTATTTTTTTATTATTATTATTTTTTGGGGTTTTTCAGTTGAATTATACTTCAAGTTCAGGGTAATCAACTGTTCAAAACATACTGTTAAAAAAGAATTTCTCCAATAAATTGATGATTTCAAAGTAAATGGATAATCGTTTTTAATAATCGTGATATCAATTATTGACCCAAATAATCGAGATTATGATTTTTGCCATAATCGAGCAGCCCTAGTGGAAACTAGTCTGGCTCATTGGCATTATAATGTAGCTGTGATGAAGTATTTCTCACAGATGTACGCAACGTATTGACTGACCGCAGCTACTATTTTTCTTTTTTTTATAATAATAAACTTTATTTATATAGCACCTGTCATGCTTAGTGCTTTACAGAGTATGACATAAAATCACAATAACAAATGAGGAACATAATTAAAATATGTAAAAACACTAAAACAAGATACTACTAAAAATGATAAGCCAAATTAAACAGATAGCTCTTTAATTTACTTTAAAAATATCCAATGGGAGGCGGTCCCACAGTTTGGGGCGATATAAAAACAGAAAGCAGCTTCTCCAGTTTTCTTGTAATGCACTTTTAAAAGTGAAACATTGGAGGATCTAATGGCGCGTTTCCACTGCAGGCCTCGCTCGGCCTCGCTCGGTTTGGTTAGGCCTTATTAGGCCCGGCTCACTTTAATGCTGCGCTTCCATTACAGTTTAGGAACTGGGGTAGTTACTATAGTAACGCAGTGTAGGCGGAGCCGTGACGTCATCTTCAGTGAGAGCCCCAGAAAAACAACACAGCCGTTAGCTGTTAGCCCTCAGAGCTCACAGCTCCTCATATCTGTTCAGAAACTAGACACAAGTTAAACAAGTACAAACCACAGACTGCCTGTGTCATGGAGAATACAGTCGCTGGTTTATTTATGTCTGTATAGGCCGTTGTTGTGAGTGTGGACGGTCGGAGCATATATAACGTTAGCTTAGCCAAGCTCCATTTAGAAAACACGCATTTTAATGGGTTTTTCGCCTGCCGTCTGTCTGCAGACTTGTCAACGCGTTAATTCATGGTTTTTACTAACCGGTATCAGTATGTTGTTACTTCGGCATCATTTTGAAACGTGTATTACAATTAAATCACGGTCAAATATGTTCATCTTGTTGTAGTTGTAGCCCCCTTACTGGCTTACCAGCGATTCTCTCTCTAGTTTAGCATACTCAGCCCGACTCAGCCTGGTTGTTCCTGGCCCTAGAACCACGATTTTATGGGGCCAGAAAAACTGTGAATTAGGACCCGCTAGCCGGTACTAGGCCAAGTGGAAACGCAACCAAAAACGGGCCCCGCACGCTTAAAGCGAGCTACAGTGGAAACGCGCCATAAGTGTCCTTGTGTCCTCCTTATGTTAGTGTGTCCTCTGTGGAGGCCTAAAGACACAGATATATTATTCCACTACCCTCTTTTTGGTGGAAGTAAAGGGAATCGTAGGTGTTTTCACCAGAAAGGGCTAGCTCTCATCATCTAAAAAAACACTATTTACATTCTGTTCAGTTCTGACCGGCCATGATGATAGTCTTCTCCTGCATCTGTTGTTGAGGCCCTCTGCTGGTGCTGGTGATTTTTTTTAATCGAGCCCTTCATGGCCCCTCGTTTGTTTTCTCTGCTGACATAGACCTTCTGCAGAGAGATGTTGGTATTGGAGTGGTGTGCAGTGTTATACTGTAGGACTCATTTGAAAGTACGATTCTTAGAAAAAAGCACTTTATTTCCAAGATGTTTCCCCTGCTAACATCCTGTTACATCAAATCGTCTTTAGGGTAACGACTCAGCTGTAGTCTCATCGCTCCTCTGTGAATATCTTATTTATGATCCAAACAGACATGCTAGCTCTGGTTTTTTCTAACGTGTCCTCTGAGGTCAGCTGTGGTTTCAGAAGCATTCCCACCAAACTTCTAAATCTCATTTTATTCCTTGTTGTTGACTATATTTAGCCAACGAGTCATATTCTCACATTCCCCAGACAGTAGATCATAACAGTTAGGAGCTCAACGGCAAGTATGTTTCCCATGGAAATACTTTTATGTTGTTTCCCCTTTTTTTCTTTTTGTCAACACAATATATTCCATATGTTTTACCCTCCATTGTTTCAGCCCGTTTCCACAGTATTTATATTTTACCCTCCACTTGAATGCCCATTGTATTTGCATGGAAAAAACCTCAGTTTGACTGCATTGTCTTGTTGATTGTTTACATTATTGTTTATCTGTAAGCAACTCATTCTGTAAATATGTTTCTGATCTTTATACAGAGAGTTGATGTTCTGTCACCACTAAATCCTGTGTTCTCTCGCTGTAGAGCCAGTCCAGTAACAACATGCAGAAACACAAGTCTTCTTCCTCCTTCACTCCGTTCATCGACCCCCGCCTCCTGCAGGTCTCCACCTCCACCGGCAGCGCCCTCAACAACATCGGTAAGTCCCGCCCCCCCACTAGCTGCTGTGTAAACAATAGAGAGGCGAAGTCCCTCCCTTTCCGGGGGAGCTCCATGGGACCTTATTTCTGAATGTATTATGTATTGAAGTCAATGGAGAGAGAAAGATTATCTTTAGATCCCGTTTGAATTGTGCCACGAATTACACATATGATGTTTGTCAATTTAAAAGATAATTTTGCAAGTCAAAAAAATGTGTCGTAAAACGTTTTTTGTGTGAAACCGCTCAATGAACTACATCTCCCGTCTCGCACCACACACCAAGACGGCCGTCACGTTGAACATTTCACTTCTTTCTTTCTGAATGAGGCGGAAAGTATTAAAAGAGGTGAAAATCACTCCAAGTCTGGGCACGTTGAGAGCTGTGCATACACACAAGGGGAGTTAGTCGGTTCCGTGAGAGCCAGCATGCGGGACCGGGACTCTGGGATTTGTAGTCTTTCTAGTTCCGTATTTTCCATAGTCTTATATTTCAACAGTTTTACGACAAACTTACGAAATTATATTTTAAATTGACAAACATCATATGTGTAATTCGTGGCACAATTCAAACGGGATCGAAAGATAATCTTTCTCTCTCCATTGACTTCAATACATACTTTTTCCGAAATAAGGTCGCATGGGTCGGAAGTAGATGGGCGGGACTTCGCCTCTCTATACCAAAAGTTCACAAACACAAAGAGTTTTAGGACATTTTTTAAAACGTCCTATCCTTCAAAAGCTTCCCATCTAAAGATCCAAGAACTAGAGGAAGCTACAAAATCTCCTTGAGTGTGTTGAAAATGTTTTCATATGCAGCTCAGGACCACCAGTTATCAGAACATCTGAAGTTATAGAAGCCCCTGTTATGCTTTTTGGGGGTCTCCCTTTCTTCTAGTGTGTTTTATAGGTTTTTGTGCATGTAAACGGTCTGCAAAGGCTAACATCCCGAAGTTCTTTTTGAACCTTAAAGCATGGAAACATGTCACAGTAACAGAAAAATATGTCCTCTTTAATATACATTTCTGTAAATGCGTCAGAGTTAGCCAAGAGGCCATTTTTCATCTGTAGTTCCTGGACAAATGTTGTAAAGTCCCCCTAAAAACCGATCAAATTTCATTTAAAAATATCAAGCTAGAGACTACAAGTGGTGAGATACTGCTTTTTATAAAACGGACAAGTCAAATCAAGCAATCTGATTGGTTCTTAGCCGTGATATAATGAGCGTATATCACGGGTAGAATTGTAGTTACTTTTCACAACAAGTCAGTATCCCTCCGCGTCTGAGAAAAGCTACAACCGTTACAGCTGTTACATTACGTCCGTTACGAAACTAACTAACTACCAAAGCTTAAGATGGAAACACAATCTTGCGTCGGACCGATCACCAGTGGTTATTTGGTGGTTTTCAGCTTAAAATCACACTTTAAAGCTGTGGCTATTGAAGCAAACTGTGAAAAATGGGTTCCTCCGGAGCGAACAGGGGTAAAGGACCTACGAAGTTGAACTTACATGAATCTATTTACAGAAGAGAAATTAAGTCACAAGAAATAAACAGTCCAAAATATGTCAGAAATAGAATTAAAATAGCATTAAAAAGAATAAAAATATATATATATTGATGTGGACAGGGAAAGGAAAGTTTGGGGCTCTCTGCTGGAACTGCTACCTCCGTGACCCGACCACGGATAAGCGGGAGAAGATGGATGGAAATATATATATACATGTGGAAAATATACACCTGGAAATACAAAATGTGCATAACACAATGACACAAATACAGAATACACACAAACCAAAAGATTGACAATAAAGTTGACTGACTGAATTCTACTTCCTGCACCTAAGCCCCTCCCTTTGACCTTCGCTTTGACCTTGTAGGGTACGCTAACGACGCCCGGCTGGCGGAGGCTCTGCGGGCCGACCCTCCCGAAAAGGATCCGTCGTCAACGTGAACCCCGTCAACACCCGCCCGCAGAGCGACACGCCCGAGATCCGCAAATACAAGAAGAGGTTCAACTCCGAGATCCTGTGTGCCGCACTGTGGGGTGAGGATTCAAACCTAACTTTATTTATAGCAGCTTTTCGAACACAAAAGGTAAAGTGCTTCACAAACACTAAAGTAAAGAGAAGCACATGACTTTGTGATTGAAAACAAAGCACTTTATTCCAACAGAATAATAAAACAACAATTAAATACAATTAAGAAAATCATAAATAACCTTCACTTTTACCATCATTATCAAAGGTTGGGAATTCCCTAATTATGACTTGTTACTACACAATGGGTCAGGTTATTAGTGACTTTCTAGTATATATAGATATATCTATACATCTATATTAAATAAGCTTGTCTGTTTGTCTTAAGGTATGTCTTTCATTTTTCAACCAGACTCCTCTACTTTAAACACACTTTACTATTACTGTAACTTATTCTGTATATTTGTATATTGTGCAGTCTCAGATCATGGCTATATATCTTTCTATTGTTAACATAAATATATATATATATATTAACTTTGTATTTCATCCTTAAGTCAGGTGCAATTATTATTTTTACATGCCGATGTAACATAATCATTTCGATTCATTAATAAAGTTAACAGGCAGTCTATTTCCTCCCACACCTCTCCATAACAATGCATGTGTTTGTGTGTGTATTCAGACCTAATGTGTGTGTTTATTTGCACTGTGTATATGTATATATATATATATGTATATAATAATAATATGTGTGATAATAATGTGTGTGAAGTCTTCACCACCTGGGGGCAGCAAATCACTGATTACACTGCAGAACACTGTCTAGACTGGATGCTCTATTTCCAGCTGTACCGTGATGTTGATCTTCTCCTAATTGGTGTGTGTGTGTGTGTGTGTGTGTGTGTGTGTGTGTGTGTGTGTGTGTGTGTGTGTGTGTGTGTGTGTGTGTGTGTGTGTGTGTGTGTGTGTGTGTGTGTGTGTGTGTGTAGGAGTGAACCTGCTGGTGGGCACAGAGAGCGGTCTGATGCTGTTGGATCGCAGCGGTCAGGGGAAAGTTTACCCTCTGATCAGCCGACGGCGCTTCCAGCAGATGGACGTCCTGGAGGGCCTCAACGTCCTGGTCACTATATCAGGTACACACACACACACACACACACACACACACACACACACACACACACACACACACACACACACCTCTCAGTAAACACACATTTAAAGATTGTTTTATTATATTTAATGCGGCCAAATTACTCCCACTGCGATAAAGAATCGATCTATCTGATGCACTTAAACACACACAAATGTAGAAATGTATTCGAACGCTTGTGTAGAGAAAATAAGAAACACACAGAGATATATACTATTATAGTTCATTATGAGACCAATAAAATGGTTTCACTTCCGTTCATCCTGCTGTAGCAGCTTATAGCACACTGTCATGTTGAAATGATTGGTCTTCCTCTCCACACACACACACACACACACACACACACACACACACACACACACACACACACACACACACACACACACACACACACACACACACACACACACTGCCCCATCCATTCAGAGGTGGGAGAAGTACTCAGAGCTTGTACTTGAGTAAAAGTAGAAGTACTCAGATCTTGTACTTGAGTAAAAGTAGAAGTACTCAGATCTTGTACTTGAGTAAAAGTAGAAGTACTCAGATCTTGTACTTGAGTAAAAGTAGAAGTACTCAGATCTGAGTAAAAGTAGAAGTACCAGAGTGTAGGAATACTCTGTTACAGTAAAAGTCCTGCATTCAAAATGTTCCTCAAGTAAAAGTAGAAAAGTATTCTCATCAAAATATAGTGAAAGACAGTAAAAGTAGTCGTTGTGCAGATTGGTCCATTTCAGAATAATATATATGATATGTTTTATAATGATTGATCATGAAAGTGTTCTCAAAGCTGGTGAAGGTGCAGCTAGTTTGAAGGACTTAGTATACTGCAGGGTAGCTGGTGGATTTACTCCAGGTGGAACTAAACAACATTCAACACTTGATTAGATTTCACATCATTCATCCACATCTGTGAAGTAACTAAAGGGATTAAATACATGTAGTGGACAAAGTAGCATAACATGGAAATACTCAAGTAAAGTACCTCAGAATTGTACTTGAGTAAATGTTCTTAGTCACTTCCGACCACTGTATCCGACGTACCTCAGACAAATTGTGCACGTCTCCTGTTGCATAAATATTATTTGTGCACATGTGGTTCAGGTTTCTCAGATTGAAAGTGATCACGCTGCTACTTCTCCTCTTTCTCAACGTGGCGCTCACACGGCAGGCACGCTGTGTCACAACAGATATTTTGAGCTGAACGGATGTTGAGTAAATCTCAGCTCTGTGACCGTGTGTGTGTGTCTACAATATGTAACGCTGACACACACTTTGAGCTTTCCATGGAAGGAAATCTCGCAGAGGAACACCTCCGTCCATGTCATAGTTTGATTGCGGTGCCAAAATGTAAATATTTGCATCATGGAAATATTGTCACTGATTGAGAAGCTAAAGAATGATTGTTTACATGTTTGAGAGGAAGCAGAACAACAACAGACGTAAGGCGTTTTCAATGCCACTCAGAATAACATTGAAGATCAATTTCACAATAAAAATACTGAGATTTTCGGGTCTTAGAGATGGTGTTGAGAGCGGCATTTTTTAGTTTTTTAAATAGATTATACCGATTTTATATATATTATATTAATAATTATTACTTTGTATTTATTTTTCCTTTTAAAACTTTTTTTATTTAATAATAATTATATTATAAACACATTTTTAATTCAAATAAATATTATAATTATTAATAAAAATATAATTTATTAAACTGAACTTCCCATGTCATACACACACTTTGAGAGATTTATTTAATTTTAATACAAATTAAGACATTTTTTAGATGCATTTTCATAATTTTAAGACTTTTTAAGGATCATCGTAAAACCCTGCAAGATTTATACAAAGGAATGTATTCCACTTGGGATATACAGTGGTGACACGAGTATGTTTACACAAAAGGCCATATTTTGTTTTACTCTCACCTTTTTAATTATTCCAATCAAAGCACAGATCTGCTTTCATGTCCAATGACCTTATAGGAGATGTACACATACTTGCCAACCCTCCCGATTTCATTGCCCTCTCCCGGTTTCCTCCCGGGGTCATATTTCTCCCGTTTTCTGACAAAATCAGATTTACTCACGACTGTTTCCAGCCCACACATATACTCCATCAAGGATGGTGCTACAGGCCGCAAGGCAGTGCACTTACAACTACAATAAGCATGTTAATGTTAATCTAATACAGCTCCGGCGATGATCCACTAGCACCCCCCCCCCCGCGGTGGTTTTGAAATGCTCCCGATTTCTGAGATCTCAAGGTTGGCAAGTATGGATGTACATACTGTTCAATTGGATAAAACCATTAGGTAGAAGCCTGCTTCATAATCAATAATGGCATGCTATGGATGGACCTTAGCATATTCTTTATTCTTTCATATTCAGACCATTATTATATCACCCTACAACTTGTCTTTTTTTAAATTATTATCACAGGGAACAATAGTTAAAAGTGGCCCTGCTGGCGATGTATTGTTACTACATGGCTCATGTTATTCTGCATGTTGATTTGTCCCGACATGACCCGCACGTTCACCAACTTCCCGAAATGTTGCAAACAGACCTTCAGGAGGGAGAAACGTCCCACTGCAGCGTCTAATAATGTTTTTCCTGTGTTATATTTCAGACTGCTCATGGCAGCGGTAAAGATTAAAATGATATCATTTAGATGCATTTCACATGACCAAGATTGCAGACTAGAATAGTAATAATAATCTCTGCAAGAACTCAGCAGCCAATAAGGATATTTTTAGTCGCTACACTTTTCTGCAGCCTTCCTCAAGGCCTTACACACTGACAATATGTACACTAGAATATACCCTTTACAAAAGACTTACTTTATTCTCATTATCCTTGCGTGAATTCTTATCTGTACTGACCTGTGTTTCACTCGTATCTTATCTCGTCTTATCTTAAAAACAGGCGTAAAGGAGAGACTTTAGCTTATTTTAGCGCCTATTTGACCTCTCTGATGTACGACAGGTAAGAAGAACAAGCTCCGTGTTTACTACCTGTCCTGGCTGAGGAACAAGATCCTGCACAACGACCCCGAGGTGGAGAAGAAGCAGGGCTGGACCACCGTGGGCGACCTGGAGGGCTGCGTGCACTACAACGTCGGTAAGACAAAACAAGTTCTTCCTGTTTCTACCGAGAGCTGGCCCCAAAACTGGCTCGTATTTTGAACGAAAAAACTGTTGGTCAAGAATGTCTGACTAATTCTGACTTTTGAGAAAAAAAACGATCTATTCTTTCTTGAACATCTTAGAATACTGAGAACCCTTTTCCACCAAAACCGGTTGTAGGTCAAGTTCAGAGCTAGTGCCCGAGGATAAACCCGTTCTTCCTCTTTCCACTATGACTATGTCTGGCATTAAGTATGGTATTCCTGTGACGCTATGTGTTTTCTTTATTATTTCTTGTTGGCTGTCTTCTATGTTGAAAAAGGGAAGCTTGATTTCCACCCCAAAGAAGTCTGAACTATTGCTTCTTCTCAATACAAATATTTGAATCAGTTATTCCTCTTTCCACCGCAACCGGCCCCGAACAGCTGGTCAAGAATTGAATACGTCTGACTAATTCTGACTTTTGAGGAAGAAATATTATCTACTTTTTCTTGAAGATCTTAGAATTCTGAGAAAAAAGTCAAAAGTGTTCCTAGAACTTTTAGTCAGGATTACGACATTGTCCTGAATTCTCAGGCTTACGTCGTCATTAAAAACTCACCTGTTCACCATGGCCTTTGACCCCTAACCCATCACAGTCCCCCTGCTTCCACTCCTACTGCTATTTATTACATGTTTTACTTTATTATTTGCCCCTTTGGGTCCCTTGAAAGTCGCTTTACAAATGTCATCTATTATTATTATTACGTCGTGGGCTGTGGCGAAATTAACCGTAGCAATATGTGAGACTGACCGTTGAGCGGCCCGACCAAGCAAGGAGGCAGAACGTCCAAATACAACCCGGTGTGGGCATTTATTCATCGCTGACACATGATTCACAGCCTCAGTTGCTGTCCACCTGAACACAGTCAGCAGCCACAAGGATCTCACACACCCAAAATCACAGAACACACAGAGCCTAAATACCCACACTAATTAACCCAACAAGACACAGGTGAGGGGGGGAGGAGACAACAGGGGCACCAGGTGCACACAATCAACAGCAACAGACATGGGGAAAGGGAACACTTTTCAAAATAAAACACATGTGCAATATACATAGCCAGAAGCCGTCAGTCCACAGTGACGAAGCCATCTTCGTCACACAATAACAGTTCATGGAGAGAGAATAAAGTTGAATGCGACCACACACTTGTAAAAAACACACATATAAAGTCAGGCGACACTAACCAGGCATTTGTGTGATACTGTTTTATTTGTACCTTACTTATAATGACCATCCGTTCTCAATTATTGACTGTTTTGAAGAGCAGCACACTGATTTATAAATGTTTGGGATTTCGGAAGATAAGGATTGAAGGAAAGCCCTCGATGAAGTAATAATGCAGCGATGGCTGAGTGGACACAACGACCTGTCTACAGCTCAGAATGCCCTCAGTGATGTTGGCGCTGATCGGCACTTCCTGTTGGAAACTCCTCTTCAGAGCTGACATGAAATCCATTTCCTGTCGAGGAAGTTTTATTTTATAGTGTGAATCGATTTCGTGTCGGATTTAAGTTTTATGCAAGTTGGCACACTTTTGGGAAGTAAAGGACTTTCCAAAGAAAACACATTTTAAATCTGTTTTTGTGAAATATTCGGACAAAGCGCCCCAACTGTTCTGTGACATCTTGGTTGAGTTTTCTGCACAAGTATTATATTATATACTTAAAACCCTTTAAATATATACATATCAAATGTATTATTCGACAGATGTTTGGTCAAGGAGCAGCGATGTAGGGACATTTTAAAAACTGAGACACATTTTTTTAATTAGACATTTCTTAAAGTTTAACACTCCTCTTTTCTTGTCCTTTTAAATCCCTTTATAGTTACAGAAAAGTATACATTCATATCCCAGATTATATAATTAACTTGTCTTCTTAACCCTTGTGTTCGAAAGCTGTTACCGTTCATGGTGTTCGCGGGTCAATTTTGACCCATGATTTATTTCAGTCTAAAACACACACAAAAAATGACTATCATCCAATATTGTTTTAACATAATCATAACTAACTTATTATGCATTCATAACCGTGCAATCTAAAAAACTAAATGTCATTTAATGTTATGGCACAAAACACATTACACCACATATTGCCCATGTGCATGTGTGTGTTCAGGTTCAAGTGTTACGGCCCGTCCACACTACAGCTTCAAAAAAAGCTTGGAGCTGGGCGTGTCTGAAGCTCGACCAACAACCAATCACATGACTCTCCCGCCCCTGACACACAAGCAGCGGTTTGATTGGCTAGAGCTTGTACTGGCATATGATTTGATTGGCTGACGCTTCCACCGCTTCCCACAATGCAGTTCGGCGAAAAGTGACGTCACCCCATTCAAAGTGAATGGGCAGACGCGTTGGAAACCGTTTTTGAAGCTGTCGAAGCTGGAGTGTGGACGGGCCGTTAGTGTACATATTCTTTGAGAAACGTGGAGTTCCCGTGGGGGGAGGGGGGGGAGGGGGTGGAGACCAGGTGCATGTTGCGAAAAATGATTGTTACAGTGGATGAAGGGGGAGGGGTGTCTAAAGTCAAAGATGGATCTTGATTGGGCCAAATTTGACCCCGACTGACCCACAACAATGCTGCTGGGTCTCCCCAGACCCGAACACCAAATTATACACTTTTTTTTTTTAGAGACCTTCAGACTTGGCTAAAATGGTCAAAACCTGTTTTGTAGTGTTTATATATCTGTTGTGGGGGATATCATGAAGCTTTGTTCCGATACAAAAAACTAGAGCGTAGTTATTATATCATTTGAAACGGGTCACGGGAGACCTAAGGGTTAATGACCGGCAGGGACTACCTGATCACGCACCTGGCCATGATGATGGGTGAGCCACCAAAGTTGCTAAACAGTCATCAGCAGCAGAACCTGTGTGCAGCTGATGCTAGTTTCTCACTCTCATGCCTTTTTCTTCTTCTAATGTTACTTTGTGTCTTCTGCTCCCCAGTGAAATATGAGAGGATCAAGTTCTTGGTTCTCGCTCTGAAGAACTCGGTGGAGGTCTACGCCTGGGCCCCCAAACCCTACCACAAGTTCATGGCCTTCAAGGTGAGTCAACGCCTCGCTCAGATGTCCAGCTCTTGTCATGTGACGTGTATACACTTTAAGGAGAATATCTTACATTGCAGTCAGCTGATGTTAAATCTACAGTGGCCTTTTAACAGCAGGGACACATGAATTAACCTGAAACATTTGACGATAAAATGATTATCTGTAAAACAAAAATATAATGCATATGATTTGCTTTTAACACACACAAAAAAAGATACACATATCATACAAATTGGGGATTATTAGCAGGGTTACAATGTAAGTAAAAACATTTTGTGTTTGTTGTAAAAGGGTCAGATGTTGTTCAGCTTGCTATAAATACTGACAATTATTTACCCTCATGATGCTCGAGCTGTTTTTCTGACCTGTGTGATTCTCAGTCTTTCGGTGACCTGGTGCACAAGCCCCTGCTGGTGGACCTGACCGTGGAGGAGGGTCAGAGGTTAAAGGTCATCTACGGCTCAGCTTCAGGCTTCCACGCCGTGGACGTCGACTCTGGGGCCGTGTACGACATCTACCTGCCCACACACGTAAGAACAGCATGCATTAGGCGCATTCACACTGCGGTACTTTTCCCACAAAGGTTCATGTGAACTTAGTTCATGAGAACTCTTTAGTTCTCATGAACTAAGTACAGATCGCGTTCACACTGGAAAAAGTCCCTGGGGGTGGATTAGGCAAATGAAGCCGCTGACGTCACTTGTTCTTCTTCTGCTTTGGGTTTACTGGCAGGCCGCAAACCACTTCACGGCGTATACTGCCGCCCAAAGTCCCCGGCTGGAAGTTCCCGGAGTTGGGGACTGGCTTCAGTAGAAGCTGCTGGGACTCCCAGCAGCTTCTACTGAAGCCTTCCGAGTAAATCGCCAGAACGCCGACACCTCCTCTCCACCGCTCCCATGTTTTCTTTTGTGTTGCCATAAGTTAGTCTCTCTGCGTTTCTGCGCTGGGCTAATGCTAATGCTAATGCAAGGATAATAAAATGGCGGCTTCACAAAACTTTTTGGGAGTTTTACGGGGCGTGGTTTGCAATCCGCCCAGCCAATCAGAAATATAGCTCTTTTCTCACAAGAGAGCCGCTCGAAAGTCCCTGCTCTCTAGCAGGGACTTTCGTGGGGGTAAAAAGGTTCACATGAACTAATTTTAGTACTGGCTCTTTTGGTGTGAACGCGATAAAAGAGTTCACATGAACTAAGTTCACATGAACCTTTGTGGGAAAAGTACCGCAGTGTGAATGCGCCTATTATGTACACACACATCTATTCAAAGGAGGTTTCAGAAGACAATCACTTCTCAGACTGAAAGGTTAGTGTTAGGTTAGTGAGCTGATGGGATTTGAGTTTTTAACAGAAGATGATTCAGGCCACAATATTTGTTCTGAGGTTAAAGTCTGACTTCTGAGAAATAATAATAAATATTCTCAAAGTATCAGAATTCATGATAAAAATGTGACATTCCGAGAAGTAAATAAAAAAATCCTAAAAATCTCAATTCACAAAAAAGTCAAATTTCAGAAAAAACAAATATATTTATTTATTTAATTCTCAAAATATGAGAATTCTGAGAAAAATGTCAAAATCTGAGACATTAAAAAAATATACATCTGAAAATCTCAGAATTCTGAGAAAAATGTCAAAATTCTTAGAAAATATTTCTTTTTTTTCCTGAAAGTCTCGAAAAAAAATTCTATCAGAAGAAGAACATCACTTTTGGTCAGATCTCCAAATAAATGTCACTTGTCCCTGCCCTAATCCCCTTCCGTAGAGTTTCCCATTGTAGCGGCTAACTCGTAAAAGGATCCATATCATATCATAATCCTCTGCTGAAGTTGATCATGAATGCTTTGTAATCAAATCACACATTTTCCCAGATAAAACTCATCACCAGACACCGTGTTGTTTTGTGTTTCTGCAGATCCAGACCCACATCCAGTCTCACGCCATCATCATCCTGCCCAACACCGACGGCATCGAGCTGCTGGTGTGCTACGAGGACGAAGGAGTCTACGTCAACACGTACGGACGCATCACCAAAGACGTGGTGCTGCAGTGGGGCGAGATGCCGACCTCCGTGGGTGAGTCGCAGGGGGGCACAAGTTACACAAACACCTGTACTTTCTACTTCTTACATGTTGAACTCAAATACCTGTACTTTCTACTTCTTACATGTTGAACACAAATACCTGTACTTTCTACTTCTCTCATTTTCCAAACAGCTGGTTCCTTTAGTTTGAATGTGTGTTTGATGCGTGATCATTATTCTTCAGAGTCATTGCGTGCCTATTGATTGGAACACGATCCGTGTATCCATCATTTCCTGGTCTTCTCTAAAGAAGAGGGACTAATGGAAACGTTGTCATGTTGCCGTTGTTCAGCATGGAAACATTCATTAGCTAACAATGACATTATTGTTCTATTAATATAAAGGGAGGTCAGGTACTCTTTAAAACAGCTGCTAGTTATGGGTACTTTTTACTGAAGTACATTTCAAAGCCTCTTTACTTTGACTTGAGTAAAGAAGTTTAGTCAGTACTTCTACTTTTACTAGAGTATTTTTAAACACGAGTATCTGTACTTCTACTTGAGTAAAGATGTGTGTACTTTTGCCATCTCTGCACACCTTATAGTTTATTATTAAATTCTCCCCGATGAATTGCTCATCATTGATTAATCATTAGCTAACACATGCTAACATATGCACACAGCTATTGTATTTCACCCACACAACCTCTAGCATTGATCATTCGCCCTACAGCTGCACTGTAAACACACACACACACACACACACACACACACACACACACACACACACACACACACACACACACACACACACACACACACACACACACACACACACACTTGAAAGGCATCAAGTGATGATCAGTATATCGCTTGGTTAACCTAAATACCTTTTTGCAGCCTACATCCGCTCCAACCAGATCATGGGTTGGGGGGAGAAGGCCATCGAGATCCGCTCGGTGGAGACGGGACATCTGGACGGCGTCTTCATGCACAAGAGAGCCCAGAGACTCAAGTTCCTCTGTGAGAGAAACGACAAGGTGAGACAGCAACACATCCTGTAAAGTGGGATAGGTTACTGTTCAGCGTTGGGCCTGTGTCCACATAGTGCCCTTTTTTTGGCAGAAAGGCATCTCACCAAAAATACACTATCAGAAATATGTTGACAACGTACCACCGCTGTTGACAGGCTAGTTTCGCCCCATTGAGTTGTATTATCTGCTTGTGCTTTCATATATTTGTTTAGGACATTTGAGAGGACACAGCTCTGAGAGTTGTGGAAGTACCTGCTCTAGTTTCTCTTCTCCCTTTAACATACTTTTCAGGTCTGTTTGGACATACGAGAAGTACACAATTAGAGAAGACATTTGTTCTTTCCTCTGTGGTTCTTTAGCCTGAATGGGACATGATGAGAGCTTTTGGGTACTGTAGCATATACAATGAGTTTCAGTTCCAGAAAGTTTCTTAGTCCACTTGTTGAATCATCCATTGATTAGGATTCTGAGGAGAAGTTGTCAATATCATACATTTACAGATAACTAGTAACTGTAACAGCATTAACCCTCCCAACCCAGGACATGAGGTTTCCTGTTTAAACTCAAACTGCAGCTGAGTGAATAATGACAGATGAAAAGACCCCCATCACCCCAGCCACAAACTGTTCAGTCTGCTGCCGTCTGGCGGTACCGCAGCATCCGGACAAAAACCACCAGACTCAGAGACAGTTTCATCCCACAGGCCATAAGACTGTTAAACACCTGAACTGTTGAAACAACATCTGCTACTTAGTAATTATTTATCTATTATCTAATATATCATTCCAATAGCTTGCATATAGACAGGGCTGCACATAACTGGTTCCCCCCCCCCCCCCGCCAAAAAAGGAGCACCGGATCATTTGAAAAAAGGTGCATTTGCGCACCAACATTGAGAGAGATAGAAAAGAGAAGAGAGAGATATTTGCGAGTCGCATAAGAACTGGTAAGATAGCAGGGTTTCCCACACATACAGTAGACTTTACTTGGGCGGGCCGCCCAGGTATATTAACGGCCGCTAAAGTATAATTCGCGAGCCATTTAGGTTTAATTTTTTAATCCGTCTGCGATCCCTCGCTCTACCCCTCGCTATCGCGTGAAGGGTCTGCTTTATGCGCTCCGCACAGTAACCGGCGAACAATTCATGAGCGTGCTCACTAGCGCACCTCCCCCCCCGTTCAAGAAGTCAAGTACCCCTCAAAAGGTCCGGTTTATTTGATTTTAAGGATGCGCACCAAGCAACTTCTCCAGGTGCTCCTTTGAGAACCAGAGCAACAAAGTTATGTGCACCCCTGCATATAGACTCTTATTTCACTACTTCACTTTTTTACAACTATTTTTCTTTTTGTATTTACTTTTTAATATTTACTTGCACTATATTTTTCTGTGTTATTGTGTTGCACTGTTGGAGAAGCCTGTGACCTAAGATTTTCATCGACATAACTACTCTGTAGCTATGTTCGTATGACAAACAAAGAACCTTGAACCTAATGAAGTAAGAAGTTGTCATCTTGCAATATGCTAATTTGATCTAATAGTTATCACCGCAATAAACGTAATAAATGTTGCGTTGTTGGAGGAGCTCAGGTCAGAAGATTTGTATTGCCTGTAGCTTTGAGCATATGACAATAAAACATTTGAATCTTTAACACCTCCATCTTTCTCCTTCAGGTGTTCTTCGCCTCCGTTCGGTCCGGAGGCTCCAGCCAGGTCTACTTTATGACTCTGGGCCGCAGCAACCTGCTCAGCTGGTAGAGGTCTACTTCTTTTCCTCTTCCTCCTCCTCCTCCCTCGCTAACACTGGATCTCAGAACCCACGGTCGATGTCTTTTCAGCCCTTCGGACAAACCAGAACAAAAACCCACGAGCAACCAGCCCTTTTTTCTCCAGTGTCAACAACAAAGACTTCACCTTTCCTCCGGAGCAGCAGCCGAGCTCCGGGGCCGCCTGCGACGCCTGAAGTGACGACATAAATGATTATCAGATATATGAATGAAAGTAGAAATATATTAATGTGAATTTAAGAAAAAAAGGGGGTTAACTACTTTTGGTTTCCCTCTCCGTTTTATGGTGCGATGGGATTTATTTTCTTTTTTTACTCTACATCCTTTCTCCTGGGCTGGTCAGTAATCTGGAGGTCTTCTACCTACTAGCACCACTTGTAATGCTACTACCTTCTGTCTTTAAGAAATCCCCCTGCTCTTTCATGTGAGTGTTTAAGAGGCCGGTAGGGTGGCAGTCTGTTGTATTAATACTACAGTAGTGTGTGTAAATGTACTTCTGTTTGGTCCAATTACTGCTGGCATGCTGGTTAGAGGTGGAGACGGTCAGCCTGGGGGAAACTTGTAAAAAAACCCGGAGCAAGTGGGACTGGAGAGTAAATATTTGAGGTAGTACTGTAAGTCTGATGGATGGGACTCGACAGGTGGGTGTGTGTGTGTGTCGTTCAAGTATTGTGTTGTTTGGACAGGTGCTTTTAAAAAAGGAGGGTGATAAAGAGAGAGAAAACGCCGAAGCAGATGGATTTCAGAATAGTATTTTTTCAATTATTACTATTATTATTCCTTGAAGATAAGTGTATCTATGTGGAGTAAAACATGTCTTTTACCTTGTTTTGTTTTTTTAAGATTGACGCACATCCACCCACAGTTAGCTTGCTTTTACTCTGAACCCACAGAAGTGCAAGGTGTGTTTGTCTAATAAGAAAAGTGATGTGGTCCAAAAGATTTATTGAAATAAAAAAGGTGTCTATGTATAATAAAAAGTTCATTGAATCTTCCAGATAGTGTCATGTTTTTAAACAGGATGAAACATGACTACATATACTCGCCTCGTGCAACTCGAGAACTCAAACTGCTGTGAATAGTCAAGATATACATTTAAAAAATATATACTAATGGTGGACGAAGGAGAGGAGAGAGTTATGTGTGTGAGGTCGGAGAGTTCAGTGTCATCGACAACATGTGTTCTAGGTGGCAGAGAGATAAACGCATGGTCAGCAGAGGAGTGTTTTTGTGGATTTCAAATCATGTCCCATTTGTATGAATGCAATGCACTAAGTGTCAAGAATGTAGAAAGACGTATTACTGTGTGGTGGTCCGAGGCATGAGATGATGTTATTTTTGCTTTGTATCTTGTCACAAGTGATCCTAGATGTTCAATTTCAAGTAAAGACAATTGAGAAGCTGCAGCAGCGGGAGCCTCTACGTCAGGTGTAGATATTTTCCGAGGGGGGGGGGGGGCTTTTTCCAAATGCCTTGCAGAGCTGATGAGGGTTTTTTGTTCAGACTCTGGATGTCAGTGTACCTGTGATGATGGGAAAGAGCAGGACTTCTCCTCACGGCTGTCTGCGGAGACGGAAACCCACTTTTACGGAGGAAGGAACCCCTCTTCTTTGTCCCCCCCCCCCTCGACTTCCTGCTCCAGCTGTTATTTAAGTTGTGTGTATATGTGAAGGACTGGGCGGCAAACGGCAGCATCGATCTCCTTCGGGCTGGACTTTCCTCTGTTTCATCTGACGTGACGTGAACTCGCCTCATGTCAACACACGTCGGGTCACAAACAAAGGGTGTGCTTTCCCCTGACGATGACATTTAAACACGAGGGCAGTGTTTTTGACAAGGTCTGTCAATCTGTTACCGGCCCTCTTACAGAAAAGCAGTTCTGATCCCTCAATGCTGTGTCGTCTGAGGTGTGTGTGTGTGTGTGCAGTACTACCCAGTGTGTGTCTCTTATGCATCAAAGCCTTGATGAATGGCTGTATTGACTTCTTAAAAAATAGTGGTTTTTATTGATATTCTTAATGGGTATAAAAAATAGATGAGAGATAAGTCTGAAAGTTGCATTGGAACCGTGCCATGGGGGCAGCATTTAAAACATGTTAACCTATTGTTATGAAAATCACTACTTGGAAATCCATTAAAAAAAATCACTTGAAGCATTGTGTATTCTTAAGTTTTAGAGCTAGTCGGAAAGCTTAACAATAGTTTCTGTAGGTCTATGTACACGTAACTATGCGACTGCGGTGGTTTAATATTATTACGCTCACCATAGGTGGAGAAAATGTTTACAGAGGCAATGTTTTGTTACACTAATGTGCATCACGATATTTATGTTTTAATGCATACGAGTCTTTAATTCTTTGTTTTTGAGCCCGGTTATTGCTGGATATTTTCTTTTCTTTCGTCATCCCCACTTAATAACCTACTTTCAAAACAATAAGAGAACACACGTGTTCATTTCAGGTATTCACATAGCGCTGCTTCTCGTGGAAACATGCAGTAACGCTCGCTGCAGGCTTGGATGTGAGGCAACGTGTTTTTCCTCTGCTGTTTCTTCCATGCTACTCTAACTTATGTCCTCTCTGTGTATGACAGGAAGTCATGTATTTTCCTGAAGGTTTTTTTCTTTGAATAAACTTTAAAAGTAATTTTAAAACAAAGAGTTTGTCCTCTCTCTTACGGGCCTCTTGCTGATGTTTGTTCCCCAAAACACACATGCAAGCATGTTGAAAAGAGACGTGTTGAAACGCTTGTCACACGTCAGATGCTGGTTTCAACAGGTTTCCTTCATATTACCAAAGAAACAACATTTTGCAGATGTTGGTTTTTACATTAACCCACACTGTTGAGCAATACTCGAATGATATAACATCTAAAAAATACATAAGCTTTAGTGTGTCGTAACTTCAAGTTCTTTGGGTTTTATGTGTGGTGTTGCTTCAGTGGCTGTCTGAGCTCAGCTGAAAAGAGAAGGGTCATTTTCTGAGGATGTTGTAAAAAGTCAATTATTCGCATGAGCAGTTTGATACCTGGAAGACAGGGTTTTGAACCACAGTCCTTGGTTTCAGTAAGGTCTGGTTATAGTAGGTCTTCAATCTAATGTTACAAACTATTGTGGTTGAATGCATGTGAACTAAAATGTCTCACTCTTGGTGACGAAACAATGGCATTTATTTTCTGTGTCGTTCCCTGTGAGAGCAGACCTGAGGGATGTCTTCAAATCTCCCTACAACTCCTTCCTGTATCACGAATTTAAAATAAGCTTCCTTAAAGAGGTCATATTCTGCAAATTCTCAGGTTCATATCAGGATGTAGTGTCTCTACTGCAGTGGTTCTCAAAGTGGGGGGCGCAGAGTAGGGCTGCACGATTTTGGGAAAAAAATCGAATTGCGATTTTTCTGACAAATATTGCGATTCGATTTGTGATATTTGTTTTTAAGCGACCCAACGGAAGTTTATTGTAAAATGCGGCCATATCTCCGGCTAGGAAGGTCGTATCAACGTGCTCCCGTCTCTAGCGCCCCCGCAGCCCGAGCTACGAGTGAAATAACTAAACTTACATGAAACTTCCGTTGGGTTGCTTTAAAGTCAAGCTTCAGTTTAAGATACACCCTGTAATAGAAACATGTGATGGAGCATTACTAACCTGACTCAGACGGTTTGTTTCACCAAACCATCTAGGAAAGCTCCATTGGAAGCCATTTGGAAAGGGCAGGCACTTTCAGAAATACTTGGCAGGTGATTGGATCAATCTGTCTGTCACCTTCTATCATGGGCCACTTCTGATTGATTAAAAATGGCTGGTACATGTGGAGCAGAGCACTTCTGATTGGTGTGGATGACTGACACACAAGAATAAAACAAAAAAAATTGTAAAAAAAAAAAAGTAAAAAAAAATTGCGATGTGATAATCGCATCATTACAAATCGCGATTTCGTTTTAAAATCGATTAATCGTTCAGCCCTAGCGCAGAGTCATGCCAGGGGGGGCCCGAGAGACCAGGAGGAAAAATTGTTATAAAAAAAAATATATCATAATTTGAAAAATAAAATAAAAAAGCTCGGCTCTGTGTGTGTGTGGAACGAGCCATTTTGTGTGCGTGCGCGAGCGAGAGAGCGCACCGGTACTGGAGATCGTTGTTGTTAGCTTCTGGTGCTATCGAGCTACGCTAACGGATATAAGGAGTTGTTTCAACAACAAGGTGGAGGAGAGTCCTCTCCTGTCAGACTGAGAGACTCAGACCCCGGCCACACGAGGACGAAAACGGCTAAACGCATAGGATTAACGCAATCGCAAACAAGCTTCCGTCCACACGCAATAGTTATCCGGATAGTGTCTGCCCACACGAGACCGCTCCGTTTAGCTCCAACCGCTGGAGAAGCTGCAGTACATGCAGGAGCCTGTACGTGGCGCTGTAACTTCCTCCACAAAAGCAGCGAAGAAGCATGGTTGTCATGGTTGCCCTTCTGTTTATTCTCCGCGGTGGGGGCCGAGGGAACCGGGCAGAGTTTTTAGCCAGTCAACGTGTATTAAAGTTTAAATCTTCCGACAAAATTATAAAAGTGCCGGTCAAAGGTCTTCTTTGTTATTTATTGAGCTTTAAAACAAATGAATAATGACTCTATATAATATAATAATATAAATACACGGAGCCTCTCTTTTTCCTCCCTCTCTTCGGACAGCGCCAGTGTCTGTCTCATGCAGCAGCTGATACACTAATGAGTGACCCGGCCGACAGTAAAAATAAACATATTTATAACTAGTTTAGGTAGTTTGAGAGGTGTCTCCGTCCTGTCAGATTAGACTTCACTCGCGTTTATGTCCATATCGAGAGAAAGATAAATAATCTGAATTCAGTGTGCAGTTTACTTTGACGCGGGGGTGAGCAGCAGAGGTGGGGAGAGGCGGGGCTATTGCACAATCATTATCAGAAAATGATCGCTGAAGCTGCAGTACATATCCACAAAAGCAGCGAGTAAGATCCCCCTGGATGTGTAAGTCTGCTGTAGATGTTGCACAAAGAACTGTAGCATGGTCAGTAGCGTCCGGAGCACGATAGCAACTCTGCGATCCGCCATTGTTGTTGTTGTTGGTGGCGAAACACATCAGCAATGGCGCAGGGTACGCGGAGGTGAGCAGCAGAGGTGGGGAGAGGCGGGGCTATTGCGCAATCATTATCAGAAAATAAGCGTATAGGGCGTACACACGGAGCTGTTTGACCCCCCAGAGCGTTGCGTATGCCGTTCTATCCACCTTGGGACCCGTTATCGTTTCCTCAGTCGTTTAGTGCCGTATGCGGTCGTCCTCGTGTGGCCGAATGGTCTATATGACACTAAACAGTAACGCAAACGGCCGTTTTCGTCCTCGTGTGGCCGGGGCATCAGTGGGTCTCAAACGTTTTGGTCACCATTAATGTAAACAATTATTTCCGAGGCACACGTTTATATGATCATTATAGTTATAAAAAAATAAGAGAATAAATGAAAAACAGGTATGAAATAATATATGACAGTGAAACAAGAATAAAGTTTAAAAGGGTGATTTGTAAAATATCCATAAAGATAAAGTAAATCTGTTAACAGTTCTGTTTCAAATGGGAGATGTATCCATAGATCTCTTCATTTTGCTCTCAAAGTGCACCAGATTGATGCTTTTAACTTCAATATTTAAAAATAAATCTTCCCGGGGGAGCTTGCCCCCGGACCCCCCTATGTGAGGTCCACTCACCACCTGTAAAAATAGCACTTTACCCCTGCTGTGCTTACACCTATATGCCGTGAGCTGATTATCGAGCCTTCATTGTAACAGTCGCGGGTACACTGTGTATATGCGTGGGGATTGTTGCAGTAGAAAGTTCCACTGTAGTGACCGGGACATTAATGGGAAACCCTAAATGTTCGAGCACCCTCTATGAAACGTCAAGCTACCCCATAAATCTCTGGCGCCGCCACTGAGCCTAACTATTTGTGTTGGGGGGGCCCAACTTTTTTTTTTCTCCAAAGGGGGGCCTGACAGAAAAAGTTTGAGAACCACTGCTCTACTGGGACATGTCTCCATGCTTTAATGTTCAAAAAGCTCTTTATTGTTCTCATACTGCCTGTGCTGCAGCACCTCTTTTCACCCTCTGTCTGAAACCAGAGCCCAGTCTGCTCTGATTGGTTAGCTGGTCGGCTCTGTTGTGATTGGGCAACCGCTTAGAGAGGTCATGTACAATGTGTTGGAGGGCTAGCCAATAGAAGCGTAACATAGTGATGTCACTATGTTCAGGAAGTAAACAAAGGTGTAGCGGGCAAAATCATAGAAAATAAATGAGAGAATTAACTTAAAAGTAAACCGCTGCTGAGGCACCAGATAGTGAATATTATGCAAGGGCAAATTAGAAACTCCTGGAGGGAACAGAGGGATTTTAGGATGTTGCAGTCATTTACATGAACCACAACCTATATAACACACAGCAGGAAAGGGAAAGCCCAAAAAGCATAACATGACCTCTTTAAAGATGTTAAAACAACGCAATAGGCCGTATACATTTTGACTTCTAACTCAATTGTTGTTCCTGCATTCTCGCCAAATGTCACCAAAATAACCAGCAGTTTTTATTATGCACAGAATGTTCTGCTATGCAGTTGATTCATAATATTTGGACAAAATGATTACAAGATGGGCGAATATAATAACACCTTGGTGGGACTGGTGCCCGGGAGGTGAATTCCTCAGCGGATTAAAAACAGCTCGTCTCTCAAAGTGTTCAGTCATGGGTCCAGCGAGTATCAGGACAGGTGGTGAGCATATCTGGAGATTTCCCAGAACACGCAACACGTCTAACTTTCTCAATCGGCCGTGTGTTTATGAACGCAATGTTCTGTGTGGTAGATCTACTGGGAGAACACTGCGAATGTGGCCGAATGACTGTTTTTACTGGCTCATTTTGTACAGACTGTTTCCCCCCCGGCAGACAAACATTAATACACATCAAGTCCAGGTAATGATTACACTCCCCAGGAGAAGAGCTCATGTTGGCTGCTGTCATTTGAGTAATATTGTCATGAAGAATATTGTAGGAAAACACTGATTTTGGGGATAGAGATTTGTGTTTTAGGAATAAAGCTGCAACTTTCCAATTAATACAATTGAGTTTCAATTACAAAGAACTGTATAAGATTTTACAGTGTATATAATTACCAGAAAGTAACAATATATAAATGTTTATACTCTATTCAAATAAGGTTCAACAGTCACAAAACCTATAAAGTACTTGTGATCGATTTTAATTGTTTCTAAGCACGTTTTGCTGAGTTAAAGGGTAAAGGAAATCCAAAGTAAGGATTCATGGGCAGAAGAAGGCAATGTGAGCAGAACTAGAGTATAAACGTATATACAGTACATATTCAAATAAGGTTCAACAATCACCTATAAAGTATGTGTGATCCTCATGCATGGCCATGGATGCAGAACTTCAGTGCAAACTAGTGAGTACTTAGCTCTTTCTTAACGTGATCAAGTGAAGTAAGCCTTTTAGTTGCAGGAATGAAGAACTCAAGACTCTAAAGTATTTACTAAAGTATGTCCATGGGATCACAGTGTGTCCAATAAAGATGGTTAGTCACGTTGATTTAGTTTAAAAGTGCAGGTTGTGCTTGTAATCCCTCTCTGTAAATCCAAACAATAAACATTGTTCTGCTTTGACTCACACTGAATGAAATGCTCGTGCACTGGATCCAACCATCCAGGTATGGGATTGATGCCATGACAACAAGGCATCTATCTTAGATTGCAGAAGAGTACTCGTGTCATAAGTGCGTCTAATGTCTATAATGGAAAACCATCAATGTGTCAGCAGAACTGACTTATCCACAATAATGCACGATGGGGGACGCCATGGTTTCCACGCAGGGAGATGACAGAGCCGTGAGTCACATCACTCTTACACAGCTGTTCCTCAACGTGTGTGTATACAGGAGAGTTGGTTGCTTCCTCTAGCACAGCCTTCAGTTCATATTTATGCAATAATTGAACTGCTTTGGCAACAGTCTGCTCTGCACACAGACACACTCTCATGTCTGGGAGAAAGACCTGAAACCAGAGGAAACTCGCCTAGATTAGCTTACAAACTGGAAGCAGAGGCGAACAGCTAACATTTCTGTACCCACAATTTAAAAAGAGACCATCACATGTTTCACTGTTTTGTATAAAAGCTAAAAGCAATACATTTATCCATTAGATTGTGGAATATTGCAGGAAATAAGATCTTTGGCAAAGACACGTTTATGATACTTACATGTTTGGTTCAGCAGCATAATCCTCACATATTAACATCACTTTTGAAACCTAAATGCAATCGGCAGAAGTTTTTTTTTTTTTTTTTTTTGTCGCTGCTTTTAATTGAACTATTCATATCTTAAACTGCACTGTAACTTTTATCCATGTACTTTTTCTTTTAATGTTTATTTTATTAGCTTTTCTTTTTAATGACTGATTTTAGATGCCATTTTCTTAATGTCTTTCATTTTTTGTAAAGCACTTTGAATTGCCTTGTGTTGAAAAGTGCTATATAAATAAACTTGCCTTGCCTTGCCTTGTGATAGTAGGGACAGATCTTTCAGGCAAAACACGTTCAAAAAACTTCCAGACCTTCTGGATATGAAGACTAGTTCCTGCAGCTTTCTATAGTGTGCACACACACACACACACACACACACACACACACACACACACACACACACACACACACACACACACACACACACACACACACACACACACACACACACACACACACACACACACACACACACACACACACACACACACACACACACACACACACACACACACACACACACACACACACACACACACACCATGTATACATCACTTCAGGGGACATTACATTGACTTACATGCATTTCCTGGAGACTTATCTTAACCTTAACCATAACCAACACATGCCTAACCCTTACCCTAACCCTAATCCTAAACCTAACCAAGTCTTCACCCTAAAATTAATGATCCCCCTCATGGGGACCTCCAATTTGTCCCCATAAGGGAGGCGAGTCCCCACACGTGACTGTGTAAACAGATTTAGGTCCCCACAAGTATAGTAATGCTAGGCCACACACACACACACACACACACACACACACACACACACACACACACACACACACACACACACACCATGTATACATCACTTCAGGGGACATTACATTGACTTACATGCATTTCCTGGAGACTTATCTTAACCTTAACCATAACCAACACATGCCTAACCCTTACCCTAACCCTTAACCCTTACCCTAACCCTAATCCTAAACCTAACCAAGTCTTCACCCTAAAATTAATGATCCCCCTTATGGGGACCTCCAATTTGTCCCCATAAGGGAGGCGAGTCCCCACACGTGACTGTGTAAACAGATTTAGGTCCCCACAAGTATAGTAATGCTAGGCCACACACACACACACACACACACACACACACACACACACACACACACACACACACACACACACACACACACACTATCCATTCATAGAGAGAGAGGCTTCAAGAGATGGTGGAGTATGTTATAACTGATGGTAATAGATGATACACGATTAAGTCTTCAAATGGACCCTGTGATTGGTGAGAGATCAGTATTGGCAGATGAGCGCTGCCAGTGACCGGCCCCAAAATACAGATCACTTTTTGTGGAAACAGAAATGTCTCAAACACTGGGTAGTAAAAGACTAAACTATGTGCATGGCTTTTTATTTGACTAGTTTAAGTGACAGTGCACATTAATAGACATTTCTGTAAATGTGCCAATCTGTAGTCCATAGACAGATGTTGTGAAGTCACCCTGAAAACAAATGACATTGAAAATATCTAGAGACTACAAGTGAATCACAACATATTGATTATTATTCTCTCATGTGTAGATAATTGTATGTTTTTGTGCTTAAACACACAAGTGAGTCCAATATTGACGCAAGAGGCAGATGATGCCAGAGGAAGAGCCACAACACACACTCTCAAGCTAGACAGCTGTCTTTTTTCAGAATGAACCTGCAGGAAACAACTGTGTGTGTGTATGTGTGTGTGTGTGTGTGTGTGTGTGTGTGTGTGTGTGTGTGTGTGTGTGTGTGTGTGTGTGTGATGTATGTGTGTGTGTGCTGAGCAGTGGTGAGCTGTACGTACACTGCGTTACATTGGGAAACCTGAGAAATTTCCATTTCAGAGGGGGTGGGAACATTGAAAAGAGAACACAGGTTCCCCCTGAGCCGGCAGGGAAGAGACCACAGGCGACACCAGACACACACCGACACACACACACCTGCCTGTCATCACCGTCACCTGTACACCGTGAGTACTGCTCTTTGTGTGTCTATTGTGTATAAGTGTGTATACAGTGTATTTAACGTATATGAAGAGTGTGTGTGTGTGCGCGTGTGTGTTGTTAATATAATATGTGAACTATTTGTATACAATCTTTTAATGCACCCTTTTTAAATTGTAGCATTGTCACTATTTAATTAGTATTTTTTTACACTATAAATGTGAGGCTAACTTTAATCAAAAGTTCGAGATGCTGTGTAAAACCGTTTGATGTACATTACAGAATCTATTTAACTATATCTCGGCCTTCTTCATTGAATCAGTGAAAGATTCCACATAATCCATAATTCATGAATAAATACAAGTATACAAATACACATTGTTGGTGAACATATATGTATTTTATCATAAAAATAAAATACAAACGTAGCAAAATGACTGCAATGAGGATTACTGGAACTGACTCATACAGTATTATAAATCTATTATGTAATTGACACAAAGTGAGGTATGAGTGATTGTCAGGAATTTGTAGGATATTTTTAATAGTGTCATTTGATCACATACGATGCGGTGCCTTGTGATTCATACGATACAAACCCAGTTACACCATGACACTCCCACTGCTTTATGAATGGAATTGCCCTTTGATGACACACTGATCCAATACATGATTGGGGAAAAGGTTAATGACTGGTGCTGTGTGTGTGTGTGTGTGTGTGTGTGTGTGTGTGTGTGTGTGTGTGTGTGTGTGTGTGTGTGTGTGTGTGTGTGTGTGTGTGTGTGTGGCCTAGCATTACTATCCTTGTGGGGACCTAAAGCTGTTTACAGTCACGTGTGGGGACTCGCCTCCCTTGGAGGTCATTAATTTTAGGGTGAAGACTTGGTTAGGGTTAGGCATGTGTTGGTTATGGTTAAGGTTAGGATAAGTCTCCAGGAAATGCATGTAAGTCAATGTAATGTCCCCTGAAGTGATGTATACATGGTGTGTGTGTGTGTGTGTGTGTGTGTGTGTGTGTGTGTGTGGGTGTGTGTGTGTGTGTGTGTGTGTGTGTGTGTGTGTGTGTGTGTGTGTGTGTGTGTGTGTGTGTGTGTGTGTGTGTGTGTGTGTGTGTGTGTGTGTGTGTGTGTGTGTGTGTGTGTGTGTGTGTGTGTGTGTGTGTGTGTGTGAGATGGTGCTGCCTGCTGTCATCTGATCCCTGTAATCACAGACGAGGAAGCAGAAGTGAACATTTTCTGGTTTCTACAAAAATTATGATTTCACTCTGTGGAAACAAATTGGAGAATTGACCTTTCTAAAAACAGAAAATATAAACTAAAGCAGAACGTTGCAGAGTATATATTAAAATGTGTATTCCGAGATAGAATATATAGCATGTTGTGTATACACATGTATTTTATTGCTATCCATATAATCAACATAATATATAACCTCATGGTAAAGCCTATTATCATTTACTCTTGTGTTAAGGAAATACTTTTCTGATTCAATTAAAAATGGTATTACATATTATATTACAGAATTAAACAGACATCTCAGAGTAAGATAATAGTTTAATTTAACCACACTGGGCTAGTGTTAAACGGCATCGGGATATTTCTGTATATGATTTCCTCATGCTATGACGAATGACGATGCTGAAAGACAAAAGCAAACCTTACTTTCATGTTAAGTGAAACTCAACCACCAAAGATCAAAATATAGGTGGCTTCTATAACTCAAAATGAGGTCTTTAATTATTTGACTAACAGCATTTTGTCCTGCTAAGTCTTAAGTGGCTTCTGGAGAATAGCTATCAGATAAAATGTCGACAAATATTTCTGTAAGTAAGAACTCATTTCTTGGAAAAACAGTCCGACTTATTCCTTGCAATAGGAGTAGCAATTATCAAACAAATCACAAAGACTTTGGTTAAACTGGTCATAACTTATTTAATTCAGATTGGAAGAATGTCGTAAATGAAATTTATGAAATGGAAAAATAATATTAGAATAAGAAATCAAGTCCTTTTCTGATTTGTTAATTGTGTTTTTACCCTGTGAACCATATCACATCCTTGGTTAATTAAATCATTTATTGAATTCTTAATGTTTGATAAAGCTATTAAAGTTGTGTTTAAACAGCGGGAAAACCATGCTTATATTTGAATTAGGAATAGGTTAAATGTCTAGTTATTAATTTGCTGACCGCTGATGTCCGTGGCCTGTTTAAGTTGAGTCACCTCATGTGATGCAGTCGGTAAAGCCCCTGGTTAAATGTGGCTGTTGAGAGTGTGTGTAGAGTGTGTGTAGAGGGTGGGGGGGGGGCGGGATGTACAGGAGTGCCGGCGTTTCCATGACTACTCTTGTGATGTAAGAAGTTTAGGAAAGACTTCAAATGAAACCACGTTGGTGCAGTGTCAGTCTCAGTGTCATGACTGTGAGCTGTGTGTCCTGCAGACTGCCGCCATGCTGCACTCAGGGTGGATGTTCGCTGTCATCTTCATCCAAAATGTCGCTGGACTTCCTCTACTACCTCCTCTGACTGTGAAAGGTGAGCATGCTGTGTGATCTGTCTCTGCACATGTTGTATTCAGGCATGGGGAGTAATGGATTACATGTAACGGGATTACAGGATTCATAACAAGGCAACTGTATACCGTTACATAGAATAATCAGATTACTGTTACATATCTAAAAATGTGGGATTACCAGCAGGATTACAGAGTTCCTAAAAACCTACAAATATCATATAGTGTTTGTTGTAAAGGATCAGATGTTCTGTCGTCTTACATAATACACTCAAGTCAAAAACATGTTATTCTTATTTAATTTATCTTGTATTTAATTGCATTGTATCTGATAGCGAGGTCATCTATAAGTAGCGGAAAGTAATCAGGTTACTTTTGAATATTGAGATAAGGTTACTGATTACCTTTTATTACAGGTGACTAATGCTTTATGGACTGTTAACCGAACGTCTATAAATGTAGATTTTAAAATGTTGTTCTCTGGTTTCCCCCAGCAGACGGCTGCTTCCTGGCTACTGAAGGTGAGGTGGATGTTTTTGTGTTGGAGGGCGAGGCTATAATCCTCTCCTGCCCAATATTTGACAGAGTGCTCGAAGTACGCAACATCGCCCCCCCAAACGCAAACTACATCATCACCAAGGACAATGGGACGGAGGGCGTGTCCTTTCAGGGCGAGGGCCGTGTTCAGCAGAGGGACAAACTGCTGAGGTTTCTCCCAGCACAGGCCTCCGACTCAGGGTTATACATCTGCACCTACAGGTATGCATTAAGAAAAGATATATCCCTCAGCTGTACTGACATTATCTTTACGCTGAAGAGGACATATTATGTTCATTTTCAGGTGTATATCAGTATGTAGTGTCTCTACTTTAAAGAGTCCTCTCCTGCTGATGTTCAGGTGTATATCAGTATGTATTGTCTCTACTTTAAAGAGTCCTCTCCTTCTGATGTTCAGGTGTATATCAGTATGTAGTGTCTCTACTTTAAAGAGTCCTCTCCTGCTGATGTTCAGGTGTATATCAGTATGTAGTGTCTCTACTTTAAAGAGTCCTCTCCTGCTGATGTTCAGGTGTATGTCAGTATGTAGTGACTCTACTTTAAAGAGTCCTCTCCTGCTGATGTTCAGGTGTATATCAGTATGTATTGTCTCTACTTTAAAGAGTCCTCTCCTGCTGATGTTCAGGTGTATATCAGTATGTATTGTCTCTACTTTAAAGAGTCCTCTCCTGCTGATGTTCAGGTGTATATCAGTATGTAGTGTCTCTACTTTAAAGAGTCCTCTCCTGCTGATGTTCAGGTGTATATCAGTATGTAGTGTCTCTACTTTAAAGAGTCCTCTCCAGCTGATGTTCAGGTGTATATCAGTATGTAGTGTCTCTACTTTAAAGAGTCCTCTCCTGCTGATGTTCAGGTGTATATCAGTATGTAGTGTCTCTACTTTAAAGAGTCCTCTCCTGCTGATGTTCAGGTGTATATCAGTATGTAGTGTCTCTACTTTAAAGAGTCCTCTCCTGCTGATGTTCAGGTGTATATCAGTATGTAGTGTCTCTACTTTAAAGAGTCCTCTCCTGCTGATGTTCAGGTGTATATCAGTATGTAGTGTCTCTACTTTAAAGAGTCCTCTCCTGCTGATGTTCAGGTGTATATCAGTATGTAGTGTCTCTACTTTAAAGAGTCCTCTCCTGCTGATGTTCAGGTGTATATCAGTATGTAGTGTCTCTACTTTAAAGAGTCCTCTCCTGCTGATGTTCAGGTGTATATCAGTATGTAGTGTCTCTACGTTAAAGAGTCCTCTCCTGCTGATGTTCAGGTGTATATCAGTATGTAGTGTCTCTACTTTAAAGAGTCCTCTCCTGCTGATGTTCAGGTGTGTATCAGTATGTAGTGTCTCTACTTTAAAGAGTCCTCTCCTGCTGATGTTCAGGTGTATATCAGTATGTAGTGTCTCTACTTTAAAGAGTCCTCTCCTGCTGATGTTCAGGTGTATATCAGTATGTAGTGTCTCTACTTTAAAGAGTCCTCTCCTGCTGATGTTCAGGTGTATATCAGTATGTAGTGTCTCTACTTTAAAGAGTCCTCTCCTGCTGATGTTCAAGTGTATATCAGTATGTAGTTTCTCTACTTTAAAGAGTCCTCTCCTGCTGATGTTCAGGTGTATGTCAGTATGTAGTGACTCTACTTTAAAGAGTCCTCTCCTGCTGATGTTCAGGTGTATATCAGTATGTATTGTCTCTACTTTAAAGAGTCCTCTCCTGCTGATGTTCAGGTGTATATCAGTATGTATTGTCTCTACTTTAAAGAGTCCTCTCCTGCTGATGTTCAGGTGTATATCAGTATGTAGTGTCTCTACTTTAAAGAGTCCTCTCCTGCTGATGTTCAGGTGTATATCAGTATGTATTGTCTCTACTTTAAAGAGTCCTCTCCTGCTGATGTTCAGGTGTATATCAGTATGTAGTGTCTCTACATGTCTCCATGCTTTAATGTTCAAAAAGCTCTTTATTTTTCTCATACTGTCTGTGCTGCAGCACCTCTTTTCACCCTCTGTCTGAAACCAGAGCCCAGTCTGCTCTGATTGGTTAGCTGCTTAGAGATGTCCCGCCCCTTAGCCTATCATGTACAATGTGTTGGAGCACTAGCCTATAGAAGCGTGAGTGTTACATAGTGATGTCACTATGTTCCAGAATAAATCATATTATAATTATATTATATAGAGATGCACCGATATATCGGTAAGAGATCTGCATCGGCCAATGTCAGCCCTATTCACCACGTCTGTGATTACAGTCACATCCACCAATGGCAGTCTCCGATGTGTATCTTTTGCGCGGTAACCTGTACTTCCATTTTTGCTTCATTCTGAACTTTATTTGGAAAAAGGAACTTTTTCTACAGTCTTTCAACCATTTAAATGTAATCCTATCTAATCTTTAAGTTAAATACATATTCAGAAAATGCAGAAACAGCTTTCTTTTGTGAGCATATCCTAATTTTCTAAAGTGTGTCCTTGCTCGTGCCGATAGAGGAGAAGACACTTTAGGGTTAGGCTGCAAAACACCATCTCTAAATAAATGTCAGATGTAGTCTTACAGCTTCAAGCCTCTTCAGAGAGGAAGACAGCTGCCATTGTGAGGATCTAAATCCTCCACTTTAAGTACTTTCTCTTTACTCCCTACACCCTCTTGCTTCAGGTGATTTTAAATGTTTTGTCCTCACTTTTGTCTCCAGAAATGAAACGTACTGTGTGACTGGGAATATAACGCTAAAGGTTTACGAGGCCAGGTCTGTTGTCATGGAGAAAGTCACCAACGGAGTAGAAGTCCTCGTGGGAGAGAATCTGAGATACGCATGTCCGTCTCTGGACGACTTCAACGACACGGAGACACTGATCGGGTGGAACAAGGTGAGAGGACGGATTTAAAACCCAACTTCTGCCATTTATACACTAATGGCACATTTCCACTGCAGCGGGGTAGCCCTGTTTAAGCGTCCTCCTAAGCGTCCTCGCTCAGGCCTCGGGCTGCCTCGCTCACCGTCCGAGGTCGTGGCGCATTACCATTACAGTTTAGGACCTGGGGTAGCAACGCAGTGTAGGCGGGGCGATCGGCTTCACATTTCGAGTTGTTCCGTCGAGCTCCCGCTGGATAGTATCATCCCCAATGAGATGTAGGAACGTCGTCACCTCCTCGGTCGACCACGGTGTGCTTTTCTTCGACGTTGCCATTTTTGTAGCTCCTCCGTTTACAAGCTTGCTTCTAAATATATATGCGACGCTAGGGATGATCTCACGCGCGATCTTGTGACGATTATCTCTGACCAATCAGCAGTCGAGAGTGTTGACGTCACTAGTTCAGCCCTGGTCTGATAGAACCACGATTTTATGGAGCCGGAAAGAGGGAAAAAGTACCCGCTAGCCGGCGCTACGCTATATGGAAAGGCCACCAAAAACTGGCCTGGCCGCTTGAGGACGGTTAAGGACGCTTAAACGGGGCTACCCGCTGCAGTGGAAATGCGCCATAACACAACACGGCTGAGCTAAACTTAGTCAGAAAGTCATTTCAGACCAGTTTCCAAAGCAAATCTCCTTGTTTCAAGTATTTTCTAAAATGTATTTGTTCTCAAAGTAGTTTTGCAATGGGATGTTTTTTAGACACTGGGACTCATTTGTACGCCGTATCCAACACAGACGAGTGTGCAGGTCTAGTTCTCAGTGAACCATGTTTTTAAGTGAGCTGTAAAGGTGGTACGGTATATGTCTGTATGTCTTCTCCTCAGTGAGTGACGCAGTGTGTTTCTTCCTTCAGGACTCGAAGAGAGGCGGCCCCTTCAGCCAGTTCAGAGGGAGACTCATCATCCCTGCTGTGAGGCGTTCACACGCAGGTCTGTACACCTGCCGGCTCACTGTGACCATCGATGAGCGGCCGTACAAAGTGAGCAGGAGCATCGCGCTAATCGTGAGAGGTGGGTGACCGCATTTCATTTATTATAGTGAGTGACAAGTGTAGTGTACATCAGAGCTGTTATCAGAGACATTTCTATGTTTTGTTTTGAGAAGTATTCATGAAACCTTTACAACCAAGCGTAGCCAATATTGAATGATCGCCAATAAGATCAAGCATACCTTTTTCTCTTTTTCTTGCTTGATTTGCTGCCCACTGCTCCTAGCGCTATATGGGTCTGAAGCAGAGACTGCATTTCACTGTGTGTGCTGTGTGCATGAACACGTGTGATCAATAAAGAGGGTTTCATCCTCCGATTCTATCCATTATCTATTCTATCTATCTATTAGCTGAAACATTTATATGCTTTGTTTTGAAAACGAATTATGAAATCTTTACAACAAAGCAAAGCCAATATTGAATGATTGCCATTCAGATCAACCATACCTTATATGCATATAGTTGAGTTTGGCGTCTAGGCTCGGGCCTCATCACTCCACAGATTTACAAAGAACATTGAGTGATGATTAGATAACTATCCCCGAGCCTACAGGTGGAGCTGGGGTGGTGGGGGGGGCAGGCGAGCAGCAGGAACATGAACGTAGCAGTAGCAAGTGAACACAGCAGCAGCGAGGCAGAGGCAGGAAGACCTGGCAGCTTAAATAGAGCGGCATGTTTAGGAGAATGTGTTTGGTTGGTTGTAAGAGAGACGCATCATGTGTAAATGTATGATTGGTGCTCGAGTTGACTGCCTGAAGTAGCTCGCAGGCTTCGCCCCATTCCACTGAATAATACTTTTTTTTAAATAGCTCTTAATGAATTTAGCTTATTTACCATCGGAACTGACAAGCGTAAATCAGAGCTGTTATCAGAAAACTATTTATGAAATCTTTACAAAGCATAGCCAATATATAGAATAATACTTACATTGTTTTTAATGCACTTAATGAATTTAGCTTATTTGAAACTAATGCACCAGCGCTTACATTGGTTTGGCTTATTAAAGTAAATATGTCTTTATTCTGGTTTATTGCACATATTGTAGGTATCTTTATTACAATATGTGAATTAATTCATGTTTGTATCTCCCCTGTATTTAGCTCCCATAAATATACAAGAAAACAATTGTGGACTTAAATGTATTTCATTAAAAAACAAAACAATATATTGGGGGGTTTTAAGTTTATACATTGAGTCAGTACAAATAGAAATGTAAAAGATAATCAAATGTCAGTATTTATTAGCACACCCTGCCCTCTACTGGCCTAACTCAATGTTACTTTCGATGTGAAGAAATTGCACAGGCACACAGTTACATGGTATGAATTATTATTATTGTGTTATATAAGTAAATGTTTCGGTCATTTTCAAGAGTTGTTTGTTTCCGTAAGTTCACACTCTTAATGTGTTTGTTTGTATAAAGGTGTAGATCCTGAAACTCCCAGCACCCCCTCCCCCACTTTGCTCCACCTCTCCTCCACCTCTCACCCAGAGATACTCAGCAGCAGCACTGTTCACAGTAAGTTACTGTTTTACTTTGTACGATACATATCACCCTGAGTGGACAATAGAAACACTTAAACTCCCACTGTACCTTTTACATTTATATTCAATGTAATATTGAATAATCAATGTATTGCACAATTAATGTATATATAATATCCTGCATTATATTTTGTTACTGGAAATTTGTATTTCCACATGTATATATTTTAACTTTTGAATGCTATTTTATTTATATTTCAGAAATATTTTTGGATTATTTTATTTCTAGTGTCTTTATTTCTCTAATGTACATTGCCTTGTTTTTTATGCTGCTGCTGCAATGCAAACATTTCCCAAATTGGGATCAATAAAGTACCTACCTACCTACCTACCTACCTACCTACCTACCTACCTACCTACCTACCTACCTACCTACCTACCTACCTACCTACTACCTACCTACCTACCTACCTACCTACCTACCTACCTACCTACCTACCTACCTACCTACCTACCTACCTACCTACCTACCTACCTACCTACCTACCTACCTACCTACCTACCTACCTACCTACCTACCTACCTACCTACCTACCTACCTACCTACCTACCTACCTACCTACCTACCTACCTACCTACCTACCTACCTACCTACCTACCTACCTACCTACCTACCTACCTACCTACCTACCTACCTACCTACCTACCTACCTACCTACCTACCTACCTACCTACCTACCTACCTACCTACCTACCTACCTACCTACCTACCTACCTACCTACCTACCTACCTACCTACCTACCTACCTACCTACCTACCTACCTACCTACCTACCTACCTACCTACCTACCTACCTACCTACCTACCTACCTACCTACCTACCTACCTACCTACCTACCTACCTACCTACCTACCTACCCTACCTACCTACCTACCTACCTACCTACCTACCTACCTACCTACCTACCTACCTACCTACCTACCTACCTACCTACCTACCTACCTACCTACCTACCTACCTACCTACCTACCTACCTACCTACCTACCTACCTACCTACCTACCTACCTACCTACCTACCTACCTACCTACCTACCTACCTACCTACCTACCTACTACCTACCTACCTACCTACCTACCTACCTACCTACCTACCTACCTACCTACCTACCTACCTACCTACCTACCTACCTACCTACCTACCTACCTACCTACCTACCTACCTACCTACCTACCTACCTACCTACCTACCTACCTACCTACCTACCTACCTACCTACCTACCTACCTACCTACCTACCTACCTACCTACCTACCTACCTACCTACCTACAACCGACCTACCGACCGACCGACCGACCTACCTACCGACCTACCTACCTACCGACCGACCGACCGACCGACCGACCGACCGACCGACCGACCGACCGACCGACCTACCTACCTACCTACCTACCTACCTACCTACCTACCTACCTACCTACCGACCTACCTACCTACCGACCGACCTACCTACCTACCACCACCACCTACTACCTACCTACCTACTACCTACCTACCTACCTACCTACCTACCACCTACCTACCTACCTACCTACCTACCTACCTACCTACCTACCTACCTACCTACCTACCTACCTACCTACCTACCTACCTACCTACCTATCTATCTATCTATCAAAAAACTGATGCTGATAATTGAATCTGATCCCTTACAAATCAGCTCCAGCGATTCGACCGCCTGTGATCGTCTCGCCGAAGAATGGAACTGTTTTTGAAAGTCTGCACGGTAAGTGTCACAAATATAATTAGTCGTAATAATACATATATTTGCTAAATGCTTTAATTAAAAGATCGTCAAAGGTCTAATATTGTTGTAATCTGTCTTTCTGTAGGTTCAGAACTGGAGCTGTTCTGTAAGGTTCTCACTGGCTGTCAAACAGCAGAGTCCACTGTGGTCACATGGCTCGTCAACGGCCAATCAGTGGAGTCCTCATACCTTGATGGACGGGCTCTGCAGGGCGGAAGGAGGTAATTTCTGCTTAATTTTAGAAGAAACTTTCAGTCAATTTGAAACATGAGGTCGAACAGGTGTAGGGAAAGTGAATGGGGACTAGCAACACCTTAAAAGGTTATAATCATTATTACGTTTCCCCCTAAAAAGAGACCTAGTTTCAACAAAGAAAATTGCAACTACAAAGATACCGGAGTTAATATTAGTTTAAGTTGGCTGCTTTTAATTGAACTATTCATATCTTACACTGCACTGTAAATTGGATTCATGTATTTTTTTCTTTTAATGTTTCTTTTATTATCTTTGCTTTTTAATTTAAATGCCATTTTCTTGTCTTTCATTTCTGTAAAGCACTTTGAATTGCCTTGTGTTGAAATGTGCTATAGAAATAAACTTGCCTTGCCTTGCCTAAAAACTAAAAAAAGGTGTAAAACTTTGAAAGAAAATATTTTTTAGGATGCATACCAACAATCTTGAAGTGGGCTTATTATTTAAATTCAGATATTACTAAACAAAAATACTCTAAACACTAGAAAGGAGTGATGCTTGTTCAAAGCTGCTCATACTGGATTGTTGTTATATGAACATCTTGCCTAGGCAGATCCGATAAAAGCTAATAATTGTTTTCCTATGTAACCCACCTCATATATATATATGTTTAAAATAATGATGTCTGTCTCAATGCTCTCAGGGTAACCAGGGAGTCTGAAGTGTGCCAGGTTGAGTTGAGGCTTCTTGTAGCGATGACGGACGAAGACGTGAACACGGAGCTGAAATGTGTCGCTCAGAACGAAGGAGGGAGACAGGAAGTGGTCGCACTGCTTCAACTAGAGGGTGAGTTGTGTGTGTGTGTGTGTGTGTGTGTGTGTGTGTGTGTGTGTGTGTGTGTGTGTGTGTGTGTGTGTGTGTGTGTGTGTGTGTGTGTGTGTGTGTGTGTGTGTGTGTGTGTGTGTGTGTGTGTGTGTGTGTGTGTGTGTTTCTCAATGTCGAGGAAGGCTCCTCCAGAGCCACTATTTCAAGGATGCAACGTTATCGAGTCCCGCCGAAGGACTGTTCCAATGTCCAGGATACTTGGCATTCTGTAAAACCGAGGCCGGCGTCCTTCGTTGCGGGAAATTTCGAGGCTGCACATGTGTATCCTCCGCGGTCTTAAAATCCCCACAATGCTTTGCACACGGACCAATTTCCAAATCTTTGGCGGAAATCACGCTCCATTTAAGGCGGGGCCTCGCATATGACGCACACCTGCACACCTGTTCCACCATTCTTCGTTTTCCGAGGCTAGGAAGGATTCTTGCCTCGCTTCTGAAGGACCCTACCAAGGAAGCGTCCTCGACATTGAGAAACACCCTGTGTGTGTGTATATAGAGTGTGTAAATGAGGGAGTCTTACCAAGATAAACGTATTGAAATTGAGAAAATCCTAAGCAGTATCTTATATATTTTGTCCTTTGTCCATTCGTGTTGTTTTAAATGACAACTAAGGAAACACCAAATGCACATTTCTGAGCCGATACGGATATTTAAAAGAACAATTTGGCCGATGCTGATGGTTTTAATCGTTATTTATTCCCCCTTTTTGTGCCAGGGAAACAAATAAATCTTCATTACAAAAAAATATTGAACAGCCCCTGATCACACTAACTTTACTTATTTAATGAGCTCAAAATCAATCAAAAATACATTTATATATACTAACGTGTGTTGTTTGCATTTTATTGTCCTCTTTTATCCTTTCGCCTCCATCTACTGGTCTTTCATCCTTTCTTTATAACTAATGCTGTTGATGAATTGTGATTTTAAAAAGTGTCTATATCATCTGGCCGGGTTGATCAATGGGGACTATCAGAAACGATCCTCATCTGTGTGGAAACATTAATGTACCTCTCTCTCCGCAGACTCCTCGTTCACCTGGCTGGTCGTTGCCGTGGTAGCCGCGTCCTGCTTCCTGACCGTGGTTTCCATCTTCCTTTACGTCCTCTTCAAACCTAAAAGGACAAAGAAGATGGATTACTTCCTGACTCGGCAGAACAGCACCTTTTAGCACGCGCTACCTCCACAATCTCAAAAAGACCGTCTTTGATGAGTTCGCTGTTACATTACATCACATGCATTGTGTGCATGTGATGTTGTGCAGTGACACCTGTTGGTGATCTACACTCCTTCTGCAGGGACATTATATTTTAAACCAGTGGCTGCACTTCCTTTTATACATAACCCACAAAACTGATGCTACTCAAAATCACAGCAGAACTTCTAATATAGGGTTAAAGAGGCCTTATTATGCATTTTGGGTTTCCCCTTTCCTGTAGTGTGTTATATAGGTTTTAGTGCATGTAAATGGTCTGCAAAGGCTAAAATCACTGTGTTCCCTCCATTGGACTCCTTTGTTTACTTTCAAAACATAGTGACACTTTGCAACACTCGGGATTCTATTAGCTAGCGCTCCAACACATTGTACGTGATAAGCAAAGGGGCGGGACATCTCTAAGCGGTTGACCAATCACAACAGAGCCGGCCAGATAACCAATCAGAGCAGACTGGGCTCTGGTTTCAGACAGAGGGTGAAAAGAGGTGCTGCAGCACAGGCAGTATGAGACAAATAAAGAGCTTTTTGAACATTAAAGCATGGAGACATGTAGAGTAGTGCTGGGGGGAAACGATTATTTTGAAAACGATTAATCGGGCGATTATTTGATCGATTAGTCGACTAATCTAACGATTATTTTTCTGTTGTTCAATTCATAAAAAACGTAATGTAAAAAAAAATGTGTTCACGATACTGTGTCTTAGGGGATCTTAATATTTAAGAACCTATTAATGTGTTATACCAGATTAACGGAAATAATCTCAGCTAATTGACGATACAAACCATGTTTACCAAAACAAAACACAAGTCTCATAAGAAGCATCTAAATGACCCCTGAGCGAAAAATGCTAACGGACATTGGCACAGAACTCAAGATAAAAGTACCCTTATTACTTATCATAGCTGCACTTACAATATATTCGATTAAAGCTGAGACTCCACAGATTATGTAGGTATATAGTATCATCACTGAGTGATCCGGACTCGCGACAGGGGAAGCAAATACAGTCATCACAACACGTACCTTCACAGAGCTTCTAGGGAGATCGTCTCACCACCGTAGCTGTCAATCTGATCAAAAGACGTGTTCAATGGCATTACAATGATTAAAAACGCGGCTGAATCGGTTAATCCATAGGTTTTTAACGTCTATGTATAAAAAAAAGATTGAATTTATAATCCATAATTCCATTTTATGTACAAATCGGAGAGCAAATGCTAGCTGCTAATGGTAGCCACCACAGCTAGCTGCTGCTTCTGCTAGGCTATGCAGCAGTCTCAGTGAGATATAAATATATAAATATCTTTGCGTTTTGGACTAACTTTAAAATATTCCCATGCTTTTGAAGACCTAGGGCGAGATGTTTTCGTTTGGGGGCTTCGTGCGCAATCCTGTGAGGAGGAGGTGGTAGCCGTTTCAGTCTCCATTGTGTTTGAAGTGCGATTGCGAACTGCTTGTTGCTTTGGGTGACCCACGTGTGTGTAGCGACGCGTCGACGCGGAAATATTTCGTCGACGATATTTTGAAGTCGACACGTCGACGCGTCGCTACAGCACTAATGTAGAGACACTACATACTGATATACACCTGAACATCAGCTGGAGAGGACTCTTTAAAGTAGAGACACTACATACTGATATACACCTGAACATCGGCAGGAGAGGACTCTTTAAAGTAGAGACACTACATACTGATATACACCTGGACATCAGCAGGAGAGGACTCTTTAAAGTAGAGACACTACATACTGATATGAACCTGAACATCAGCGTAATATGACCTCTTTAATACTTGGTAGAAGCTTCTACTCTGCTGTATTCAACACAACCAATTCAATGTGAATTTAAACTGTTTTTTTGTCAGTCAGACACTCCTTAAAAATACAGACTGTTGCAACTATTTAAACATGATTGTGTGTATATTTTGAAATAAGTATTCTCAGGGGTGCATTAGAATAAACATTTGTAAATGTCTATTAAATACCAAATCGGACTATATGCTGTAAAAAGAAGTACTCAGTGTTAAGCATATATAATGTTATAATTATTTTTAAATAAACAATGCATTATTTAGTCTTTATGAATATTAAAATGGAAATATCAAAAATGTGCTACGATTTTAAACTATTAAAGTATAAAAGCTACTTAAATAACGGATGTGGTTCTCTATTGAATGATTTACATGTCTAATTGTCCTTTAAAGTTGTTTCCTCATACAGTAATTGTGTTTAAAGCACTCTGTGTTTTCATGTAGGTTTGATCAAATAAATACCATGTTGGCACACATATAAAATAACCTTCGGAAAGGGGGAATCCTCTTTTTGCAGCTTACTTATTTAAATGTACAGTATGATTTAAAGATGACATTGTAGTGTTCTTAAATAAGGCTTTTGCACAATCTGATATTTAATTAGAGGCATTAGAGAATGGTTTACGCTCTCCGTCAACTTGAAACCTGCACACTTTAGCATGTGTTTACTGCATGGAGAGAACTCATTTGCACATTTTTGAAAACCTCTTTTTACAACTGGGGATAAAATACAGATGAATTCTGATAACATTGGGTGTGTTTACTCATTGAAGTGCGCACAATAAGAGTTTTGAATGTTTACCGAACATATATTTAAACATAAAGCAGGAATCATTTACAGGGGCCAGAGAAAGTGGTACTGCTCTGTATAAATCAGGTATGAATGAATACTATGTAAAGCGCTTTGAGGGGTCCACAATACCTGATAAAGCACTAATACAAAATAAACTATATAAGTACAGTCCATTTACCAGTTACATAAAATTGTTAAAATGCGATATCTATCATTGGTATTGATTTTACTAATCTTAGATGTAATCTTTTTTGGTTAAGCATAGGTTGATCATTTCATTTTCAGGTATTTAGGGTAATAATAATATCCTGCATTATATGTGTTACTGGTTATTTGTATTTCCATATGTATATTTTCCACATATGTATTTAAAAAACGTTTTAATGCAATTTTATTTCAGAAATATTTTGGACTGTTTATTTCTAGTGTCTTAATTTATCTTATTGCCTTTTTTTATGCTGCTGCAACGCAAACATTTCCCAAATTGGGATCAATAAAGTACTTATCTATCCATCTATCTATTGCTGTGGAAACTTTCACTCGTCAACAATCTGGAGATGTACTAGTAGGCTAGTAATAATAATAATAAAACTGGTCCGATGCAAACAGAGTTGTCTTGTTGGTTCTTTAGTTGAAGTGCTTCAAAGGTGCATGTCACACAGAGTATAGAGTAGTCTGCAGGAGTGCACACAGAGTGAAATGTGTGCGTGTGATTTATAGAGGACCTTGGCGCTTTTTTGTAACTGTTGCTGTTTAGACAAAGAGAGAGAACACTTTCTGCTGACTGTTTCATTTCATTTCAAACCTTTATTTAACGAGATTGGTCCCATTGAGATCATAGATCTCTTTTTCAAGGGAGACCTGCAGCATATAGGTTCCACATGAAACAATAAAGGACATTATACATTATATTTACAGGATACATTTACATAGTTATAGACATTTACATTTAGACTGTTATCTTGCAATGCTCTTTTGAGGAACAATAACTGTACTGTTCAAATGTGACCTTGGCAGGAAGCATCTGGGTGAACAACAAGTCGAACAAAGAGACATGTACTGAATACAGTTTTCATCATATAAGTGTTGCATTTGGTTTTACCATGTAAAGTAATATAATAAATTGCCACTACACTATCTATCTATCAATGTATCTCAAGTTGCTTCCCTGTTCAGCCACAAGAGGTCTCAAAATGACACTATTGAAATAAAGCAGCTTCCTATGAAACCAAAACAAAAAAACACAAGTGTTGGAAATAGCTGAACGCATAGAGATGGGATTAATAATTGCTGGACGGGATTCATAGGAAAGAACCGTCAGTGTAGGACGCAGAGAAATGTGTTTTTGTTTTATGAATGACTTGGTCTGTGTAAAACGTCTGTGTGTGGTGGGAAAAAAAGGAAGTCGAAGCTGGACACATCTGAGCTAAGATTTGTCTTCTCTTTTTAAAGATGTTTTGACAGGATTTCATGTGACCTGAGAAGGCTGTCTGCCTTTAAGGAAGGACTTCAACAACATCAGGCGGTGAGTTCTCTCTTTAAACTCCATTAACACAGAGGGTGGATTATTGTACAGGATAAAAAATCCCTGACATCAGCATTTCTGTCCGTGACGTAGCTACAGGACTGCCTACTTCACATCTGAAGAGATCAATACTTCAGTGAAGGTCAACAACACTGGACTTTGTTTGGACAAACAAGAACCAGAACTGCTTTAGCAGTTTGCTCACCTTTTTCCCACAATTGCACAATTTGCTCCAAGTCATCTGTAGAAAAGTCCACCTTATTGCAGAGCTCTCGCCAAATCCTAAAACATGTTCAATAGATGTTCTTCTCCATTAAACATTTGCAACGCCATTTTTTTCCAATTGATATGCTTTATACGTCTTTCCTGCTATTTCTTGACACAATACTGTGTTTTTTGGGAGATGTACCAACAACTGTCTGTTGAGTCAGAGGGTAAATACAAAAATAACGTTGGTGTTTCTAACATTTATAAGTAGAAGCCTTTAAATACAAGAACAAACCTCTAAATGAGCATATGTCCCTTTAACCTGGGTTTCTGATTGCTCAGAAAAGATATCTAGAGAATTATAAACAACGCTGATTATAATTTATTGAAATAAAAGATGAAATACTTCCTTAAAGAAGTTCCTTAAATGGCACATTTGTGTAGCTTGTCCCTGATAGACAATTAGCTTTTCAGAATTCCCTTTTGAGCTCCTCTTCATCTATGAAAGCAGTCTTTGCTTAAACAACCCATAATGCAACTCTCTCTTGAGGAGATGTCATGACATGTCTTGTTATGTCTGAGCAGAGGTCAAAAACGTACAATTACAGAATTAACTGTAATTTAAGACGAGGAAAAGCAGAACATTCGTACTTTCTTATCTATTGCTAACACTTTATAGCATTATTGAATCCTGAAAACGTAATTGGCAGATTAATAAATACATCTAAAAAGATCTCCCCGGATACAATACACTTCTTATCTCTTTTGCCAAATGTTCACAGCTTGTTATTGGTTAATCTACTTATTCTAATAACTACTTATATTTTTAGCATCACAATTCATGATTCATCTGGAAAGGGAACTTTTTCCGGGTACACATTCCTTCTAGTCTACGCTATTACTGGAAATGCCCACACAGTTCAAACTTACATATATTGAAAGCAATGTCAATGTCAATGTGCTACATAACACACCTTCTTGTGGTCCTATTTGGGATCAGAAGCAAATATATGAGTACATTCGAAGTTTATTAATGATTGTAAAGTTAAGCCTTTGCATAGATGGTGCTGGTTTTTACCATAGACTGTATATATAAATGGACGTAGGGTCCGTGACGTCACCCATAG